ATTAAATATGTTACAAGCATCCGTTTGTTAAAAAAATTAATAGCAAGCATGGACTAATGTAAAATTGTTCTAAATATTTCAAGAAATAAAACATAACATCTGTTATTCGATTTTTAAGGATGTGAATTTAAGCACGGTTGCAATTTGGGTACTCCTCATTACAGAATCATGGATCGTTTGGAGGTCGGTTCAAACCAATTTTTCTATGATTCAATATAGATACAAAATTATATTGGTGGAACCATATAGTAAATAATGACACATCTACAAAATAAACACAGAATGGAAACTTTTGTCTGGATCATAAATAAACTTAGGTGAAAAAACTGTCAAAATAGGTGCAATTTTGGTAACGTCACGTTACGCCTGCCATGAACATGATGAATTCTTTTTAAGAATCGTCTGCGGATTAGAGTGTAACCTTTGCGGATTGGTATATGTTGGTGAAACGAAAGGAAAGGATCACCTATTTTGAAATTACCTTGGAGTTAGGTATTTTTGTCAATACTATATTTATGCTATGTTTAATGTATAGTGCTTTTCTTGTACTTTTTCTTTGGGTTGCTGACATTAATCAAATATCTTAATGGGTTAATAATTGCTTATGTTTAACAGACTTAAATTGTTTTTCAATTATATTGAATAAGGTTAAAACGGACAAATGTGAAAAATAAACGTCATTACACGTAATTGTTACTGTTCAGAATCAAACACTATGTCGATGGTTTATCACCAGTCCAGTAATCAGAACGAACGTGTTGACACAGAATATCAATAATGTGATCATATTATAAATCAACTGTTTACAAAGCTTTGAATTATTCCAAATACTAAGGCTATTGCACCTTGGAATATATTACCGGAGATGTATTCGACAAATCCTTTCGGAATTTTCGGTTCTCAATACTGTTCAACTTTGTACTTGATTTGGCCTTTTAAGATTTTTTATTTGAGTGTCACTGATAAGTCTTTTAAAGACGAAACGTACACACAAAAGTATAAATTTAAAATCAAACGCTCGACTATATCAACTAACGGAACAATGGAAAATAACTGTGATATCCCTGGCATGACAAAGACATTATCGAAGAAAATGTTGCGTAAAACCCGGTTTTATAGCTAACCCGACTGTTGTTTATGGTTCCGATATATTGACAAGATTTTGCGAACAATCCAAACAGACATAATAGGTTAAATTGGGATCTAGCAGCCGAATCTGTACAGATCTGCTTTTCGTGTAACTTATATACATGATAATTAACACAGATGATAAACAAATAAGAATGCTGTTTGTGTGAGCTGTTGAACTGCATAATATTATTGATTATTTTAGCGAACTTTTTTATTCTTTTTCGTGATGCTTGCTTTACCAATAAAGATGGTGAATTGGCAAAGTAGTAGATGCTTATATTTTGGAGTTCATGTGATTCCTTCGGTTCATTTTTTTTTATTATTTTATTTACTTGATTTTATCTGCTTAATGGATTGATAAGATTTAAACTTAGGTAACCTTTTATTGCTTCTTATTGTACAGCAGCCATTAATGTAAGGTATAAATGTCGCTCCGGGGTGTTGCCTTGACATAGCATGATATATCACATTTGAAGATGTATCATTTGTCGGCACTCTGTCCACTGCAATAACGTCGCAATTTTACGATCTGCCGTCATACATTTTTTAGTTTTTATTGCCACTTGTTATCGCAAACAAAACACAATAGAATTACTGAGTAGTATTAGAAATAAATTTGATGTGAAAATAAATGGATTTTTAAAGACTTTTTACATGATCTCATATTTATTGATATAAAATAAATAATATTTGCGAGCTGTCATACAAACGGTAATTTTTGGACGACGTTACACTCTTGCTATGCTCTTATTGTTCGGTGGGTAAATAAATTCGCCCTGTTAGTTTCAAGTTGAAATTTTTATAATTCTCTTGAAAACGTATATAAATTAGGAGAACATTCTTGAGAACCTCTATGAAATGACCCCCAAATTCTAGTTTCATCCGACTTTCTATCGCACAGCGCGAACCAGGCAAACTATCGATATCTTGATACTTTTCACGACAATTGTCAACGTCGTCGTGAAATACTTCGTAACGTTTCCTTGTCCACGCATTGATGTATGTACGTGAAAATGAAATGCATATGTGCTTCTCAAAATGTAAACAATCGTCAAAGGTACGGCAGCCCGGTGCCTCAGAAAGCTGTGTTGTTTCAATATGTAATATTGGATTATGAAAAGTGAAACAAAAAACGTCTACGCTTAAAAAGCTATCATCTTGTAACATATTATTTGAAGAGAAACATATAAGTTGAATTTTCTTCGTATACTGGTATAAATCCTAGACTAGACACTTCTATTGATATCACGATATATAAAACTATAGTATGTTTCTTTACTCACTTTCACTTTCGGCTTTTTACAAAAAACAGCATGGTTTCTAGGCAGTGGTTGTACGATCTTATACTACAACACACTACACATCTAAAGTAATAAGTTTTACAAGAATTTGTCACCTTCAATTTTTTGCTATATAGTTCAAATAAAAGTGTGATTCAAAAAAAATATTATTTTGAAGGCATTTCTAGTTAGATTTAAAAGAACATGGTACATCTACCATTATAATCAAAATTATACTGTAACATCTTTATTTGATTTTTTGGACATAGTTTTGTTGTGAAATGCTTTCATTTTCTGATGATATAAACACAAATATTATTTTTATCATGACATTTACTCTGAGTTTCTACCAAATGAAGTGCTAAAAAAATATTCATAAATGGTCACATGAAGAGAACACGAAAACTACTAAATATGAAAAAATGAAAAAAACTAAAATAATCTAGAGACAATATTGTGACTTACAACACATGGTTTGTTTAAATCAAACTCTTAAGTTTATATAACATCATTTATACAACAAAAAATTGTAGGTGCCAGACTTATATTAATTGCATAATTAAGACATATCTTTACTGTTTCGGATTACACTTTGCTTGGAGAAAAGTTGGTTTTGTAAAATATATAAAGTAAAAGTCTGCTCATACAGATAGTTTTTAGGATAAATGATTTGAAAGTGCATTCCAAAATTACTTATATATTAGCAATATTTAAGATTAAAAATTCTGGTATGATGATTTTAGTAATACTTCAGATTAAAAATTTTGGTATGATAATTTTGAAGGGATATCTTCAAAACAAAACAAAAGACAACTTGCTCTGCCTCCAACAAGATTAAATAATCACTGCAGTATACATTGAAAAGATATGTTACTATATGCAGTAACATTTACAATTAAGAGCAGCAGCCAAAAAATACTCCATTTAAATTAATATAATACAGAAATGTGTTAATTATTTAGCCTGGTAATGTTGGTTTTATGTCATTTTGACAGCAATCCAATAATTCTGAAGCGTTAATCAACACTACTTTTTTAAATGTCATGTTTTAAAATGTTCAGAGAAGAAAATATTTGGATTTTTTAGATTTTAAAGTCTTATGCTATAAATCTTGATTATTTTTTTTTACATATATCTTTTTCAGATCTAATATCATATGTTGTGTGACAAGGCACTAAAGAATTAAAAATTATTTTGCTGCTAATCTATATGAATTTCAATTATTTGTAAATAAGCTATTAGAATTTTTTTTTGTCAATATATGAAACAAATATTTACTATATTAAAAGCAAGTTCAAAAACATACCACATTTGAAGGTATCAAAATTTAAATTAGTTTGTTAGATGTGTGGTTTTATGTCAATGATTGATTGATTGAATGGTGTTTAACGCCACTTTCAACACTAGTGTTCTTTTTTATGGTGGTCAGTATTTATTGGTGGAGAAAGCAGGAGTGTTTAGAGAGAACTGCAACCTTAAGTAGAAAAACTGTCAATATGATTGTAGTCTAGACCAATAAATCAATTATCATAGTAAAAAAAAGCGCAGCTGCCATGTGCAGGATTCCAAATTCCCAACCTTAGTGTTTACAGGCTAGTGATACAGTAATTTGACTACTTAGATCATTCGGCCAACAAGGCCCCTGAAAAAACTGAGGCCAATGTCAATGAGACAGTAATAGTATAGCATAGAAAAATATCAACATACACTCTTCATCTATAGAACATGTCTCAACATATATATGAAGCTGTACATTTTTATGACATTCAGTTCTTTCATTTTTTTGCCCCCCCCCCCCTTTCCCCCCGTAGTGGAGGGGGCATTAAGTTTTATCCTTGTCCGTCTGTACGTACGCACGTTCGAAATTAGTTTCAATTCTCTTACTTTAGTTGGCCACAACTAAATGTTATGAAACTTATACACAATGCTTATTACCACAAAACACAGATAAAGTGTGAATTTTGGTGGCGTCACTTTTACCATTCTACAGTTATGCCCCTTTACAAATGGAAAAATTCCTGAATTATTCGTTTCCGTTCTCTAACTTTAGTTTGCCTCAACTAAAGTTTATGAAACTTATACACAATGCTTATTACCACAAAAAAACAGATCAAGTTTGAATTTTGGTGGCGTTTATTTTTATTTGATTGAATTACATATTCTTCAGTTTCTGCACATGTTATTATAATTATATTTTTTTCTGTTTCAGGTCTTTTAACCTTTAAAAGTGAGGCTAGACACTACAGATGTAAAGATGTAAAGATGTACATTTCTGTATGAATATCCAATAACTTGTAAGCATTCTTTTAGATAAAGTTCTATTACAAAACAAAACAAAATTTTAAACAATTGTTAATAACAAGAATGGCCTGGTATATCAAAACCTTGTGTCTGAAATCATCTTAAATACATTTTCTACAAATCAGGTTTATAATATTTGATGTGGTCTTTTTCTGTCTCCCTGTGAACATGTACATGAGAACACACACACTCATGCACACAACACACACATATATATCATTGACAGTCACACATTTGATACACGTTAATTATTATAATTAAATACTTTTATCTTTTTTTCAGGTAGCATGGAAAAATTTCATTGCCTAGCAGGACTAGGCTTTACTGTTTCTGTGAATAAAAGACTGGAGATAGATGAAGTAGAAGACAAATTTATAACTAATAAACTACTTCTTGAATTGAACACCATTACAGAAAGGTCCAATGGTGTTTACACGTACCAGGATGTCCTCAACTGGATATCAAGTCTTAGTGGTAAAGAAAATGTAACCAACAAAAGCTTATATTTAAAGGTGAAATCTATACTACTGAAAATCAAGACAAAAGTTTCAAACCTTAAGAAAAACAAACTTAACAGGGAACATGTTGAGAATTATTTGAATATGGTTATAGACACTGATTGGTTGTTAGAAATTACAGAAACAAGAAAGCGTCAAAACAATGATACAGAAAGAATTTCAAATGTAATATCAAAGAAAAGAGAAACAAATGATTTGAAACACAGAAATAATGGCAACACATGGAGAGAAGCAAACAGAAAACTAATTTTTAAACTTCATAAATGTGAAAAACAGTTAAGTCAGACAGAAAGAAAACTGAAAATATCACAGACTCAAAACAAAATAAACAAGAAAAAATATACCCAAGTATTCAAGTTTCTGAAAAAACTTAAAAGTAACACCGAATTAGAGACAAAAAGAGATAAAGAGAAAGTACGATATTGGAAGCAGCAAACTCAAACTAAACTGGACAATTTGAAAACAGCCAAAGAAACCCATGAAGAAATACATAGACTGAATTGCTTAGAAATCACAGATCTAAAAAAACAGATTACATGACTTAGAATTGGAACTAGAAAAAAATGAACACACTGCCGAAATAGATTTAACTGAGCAGAGTAAATTTGGAAGATATACCTATACAGCAGAGACAGATTTATGCATAATGGAATTATTGAACTGCCATGTTCTCTTTGATAGAGTTGATACTGTCATAAAAAGTGTTCTTTCTCTCTGCAAGTTGAAAGCTAAAGATGAAATCTTACCAAAGACAGAATATGTTTCGTCTGTTAATGTCCGTAGACTTGCCATCAGTCAGGCTCACATTGCAGAGACATGCATAGAAGAAAACAGAACATTGTACACAGACGAAACAAGAAGAAATGGACAGTCATATGGCGTTTTCATAACATCCAGTGAAAACCAAGAACCATGATTATTGGGACTGAAGCACATGTCTAGCAAAGCTTCAAAAACAGATTTAGAAACACTTAAAGAAATTCTAAAAGAAATTGAGGATCGTACTCAATATTTGCAAAATGAAAATCCTCCAAGTTTGGCTTATAACATTTTGAAAAATATTTCAAATACAATGTCTGATAGAGCTGTGACAGCAAAATCATTCCAGAAACTTCTGCAAGATTACAGAACAACTTTTCGGAAAGAAAACATGGACAACCTTAATGAACTATCAGAACCAGACCAATTACTGATTACTAAAATGAAAAATTACTTTTGTGGTCTTCATCTTTTAGTCAATATTGCAGAGTTGATGTGCAGTATCTTCAAAGAATGGGAGTAAACTGTGATAAATAAAGAAGTAGTTGGGGAGTCAGCAATTATAAAAACAGTAAGAGAAGTATGCAAGGCATTTGTTCCTGGCGTGGACAATAAAAATGGAGCATTACTAGAGCTAAAACCATACCTGTCAAAAATCAACGTTAAATATCAATTGAAGACATTCCAGGGTAACCGATTCAACATTGTCTTCCATAATGGAGGAGTAATATATTACCTTCATGAATATTTCATTTACTTCCTTGAAAATATAAAAGCAAAAGGCAATACCAACACCTTGAATGAGCTGATGAAAGACGTATTGAGAAATTTGAAATGCAGTCACAATATTGAAGGCTTAAGGGCATTAGGAGTTTACAATAAATTTATAACATCACCTCTTTGGAAAATTATTGAAGCTGACAATACACATATTCTAGACATGAATGCGCACTACCATAATCTCATCCAATTTTTAGAAGATGTTGCTACAAATATAGAATCAGCAAACGAACTCTTAACTGGCGAAAAGCGACCATTCCCCGTTATAAAGATAAAAAAAAGATGAAGACTGTGAAGTTTTGGTCAAACAACAGACCAATGATGCCAAAACTGATAGTCTGTAAATGCAGATGGCCGCCGCAATATGCAAATCATTAAAAGAAAAAGTAAAAGATCATTTACCCGGTGGGAAATTTGAAAATGTTACAGCAGATGTACAAATACAAATGAAATCAGTCATCCCACACAACAAATTACCTGAGTGGGTATTTGGATACCTTGATTGGCTCCTTATACACAGACCAAATTCAACAAGACTAGCCAACGAAGCACACATCGTATACAAATTAAACAAAACATCAGAGTGGCTCCACAAAAAAACTGAACTAGAGATTGAAAAGCTAGTTCAATGGTCAAAAAGAATGTTACCCAGAATCAAGTTTCAGGAGAAAGAGAGAATCAAAGAAATAAAAAAGCAAATGGAGGATTTAATCAAAGCAAAGGAAGAAACAAGCAAGACAAAAAAAGCTAAACAACTGGATGAGAAAAGAGAATTACAGGATGCCATCTTTGTACAAGGGCTTTGAAAGTCAAGGCAAGAAATGGAAATGAAACTACAGCAGAAGTAAAAAAAAATGAAAAGAAAGATGTTGACTAATCAAATAAAATTTAGACAGTTAGTCCTAGAACAATCAGCTAACAAAAACACTTTCTAAATAAGCAGATTTGAAGGCAAACCAGTTACTATAGATATGCTGATGTCGAACTTGGAGATCTTAATAAGATTGAAACATGTATCAGGTAAGTAGTTACCGCTCATAAAACAAATATGTTATTAACAACACATTGAATTTTGGTATATGTTGGTGAGACAGCAAACAAACAACACAGTCTAATCACAATAGGAAATAAATTACTTCAAATTGGCCTGTTCATTTACTCAGTAGATTTATTTATTAATCTTATTAAGTTATGCTGATCTAGTTTTACAAGTGCAATATTACTACAAGTTTAATTGCAAGAAAAACACCTCGTGAAAAATGCAATATTCAGCTCTTCATACAAAAATTCTTGTTAGTAAGAATACTCTTTTTTGTGAAAAAAAACTTGCAGGTTTCTATAAATTAGAAGTCGAGTTTCAACAGACCAGCACCTTTGATATTTTACAAACAAATAACCAGATTGCAATCAAAGAAAAATTACAGTTACAAAATACAATTGAGAAAAAAAAAAAACGAAAACTGCTGACTGAGTACTTACAACAAATTTTCTTTTAATCAATTTGACTTTTGTAGTATAGATTTCAAACTATGAATAAGCTATATGTAAATATACACCTTAACATAGCAAACCTTATTTTTCAGAAATAGAAGTAGATGTAGAAGAAACAGTGACAGACGAATAAATGGCAACATATGAATGAACATAAACTTTTGTTTTTGCAAAAAATTGAAATAAAACACATTTTCTCTTTGATTTATTTTAAATATGAACAATGGGAGATGTTGGATACACTTTAATGAGACAGCAAGCCAGCAGCACAATAACAATATGTATCTGGAGTTCATATCAAACTGGATACAAAAATGAAGATTGTGGTTTACATTAAAATTATAATACATATAATATAGTTCGGTTGAAAGTTAGGTACTCTTTTAGGCTTTGATACAATTTGCCAAGTTTATTTAGATTTATTGTTTAAGAACTTGTTCATGAATAATTTCTGTATTCCATGAATAATTTCTGTATTCCATGTTAAAGATAATATATCTGTATAAAAATAAGGAGATGCGGTATGATTGCCACTGATACAACTATTTTTGAAATTTTTCTGATAACTTTTTTTCTTGTCTGGTTATGTCTTTCATGACCACTTCATATGGACTTCCCTCTGTGATAAGTTTGCATGGTAAATATGTAACATTATTTTTTTATTTCTTGCATATTTTTAGTGAATAGCATTCTTTTAATGAGTCATGACAATAAAAATGATATGCATTTTTTTTAATCTTTCCATGGTATGAAATAACATTATTTTCTGAACCTCAATTTTTGCTAAAATATGATGTTTTGGTACTGCTGTGACCTTCTCCATGCTCTCTAAAGAACTTTAACATCTATAATAATTGTTTGATAGTGATTCATTATGTATATGTTCAATTACTAAAGTATTTCTAAGGGCTATATAACAACTATTTAGTCTATTGCCATAAGATCAAAACGAGCCAATTCCTCCAGGGTAGAAAATGCGCCAAAAGGGGAGACAATGTCCTTGGAAAAAATGCCCCATATTGATGACCAGAAATAATGTCATTTTTTTAATAGGTAATAGGTATGCTTCAAATTGGGGTACACAAAAATTCCTCTTCTGTTAAAATGGTGAAAGCTGCAGTGCCACTATCATTTGATTTCAACAGTATTACATAAAGGCATTTAGTACATGTATAATAGATATTAGTATTGCATTTGAAAGCGTTTCGATAAAAAGTTTACTTTTAAATGGGACATCTATGCAATGAAAAGGAATTTAGTCGTAATGTTTCATTGCTACTTCAGTTATATACTCCAAAGAGGTCACTTGTTAGTCTCAAGACTGAAGTGGGGTGCCTCATGGATCAGTTCTAGGTTATTCTGTTTTTTTTTGCATTCGTAAACGATTTTGCGGACGACATTTTTAGCTTAAACTAGCTATTTGCTTCAAAACAAACAAGGTATGACAAACCACACTTAATTATATGATTCAGATAATACACGTCGTTTGTCATAATGGTTTGATGGAGCAGTAACCAGATCGCAAATTCACTCATGGACATCTTTGTCCAGCTTATACTTTAATTGGACGGAAATACATGATTTGGTGTGTTTCAAATGCGTTTCACATTCAGTTCACATTCATCGCAGTTTGCAATGTACACTGACCAGAGGAGAAATGAAACAATAATAAAAGTCCGCAGAAATTTGACGATTATACGATTTCTTCTCGAATATGCTTGTGAGTTCCTTGATTATTGTGGAACAGGAAACTTGCGTCGAAACGAGATGGTTAAAATTTAGGCTGTTTTATTCTTTGCATAAATGAGCTATGTTAGTATCAATAATCCAAAGGGGTTTGATAAGAAACCATTAAACATAGATGGGAACAAAATAGTTTGGTGTGTTGTATTAAATTTTCGCTGGTGATTATTCAGATTGCTGTAACAAACTACTTGATACAATCTTAGAAACTTGCATATTTAAAAAATACATTTTAACTGATTTTAGTATTTACTTTTATCATCAGTCATTATTTCTGTCTATCTCTATTTTGGTTTGGAATAAATTGAAGATGATATCCAATTATCCAATTATTAGCATCCATCAAAACTTTCAAACATCAGCTGAAACTACAAGGTAGATTCAAATCACCTAAAATCTAAAGGTAATCGATACATTAGTAATTTACATACTAAAATTTTGAAATGGATGTTGCTCGTTAAAAAGCGACTTGGTTTATGCAAAATTGAAACTTGGTGATATTTGCAGCTGTAGAATCAGTGTTGAAACCTCAGCATATTAACTTTGGGACATTATAGCTACAGCGAAACGAAGAGGTATATATATAATCTATATAAGTTCACAGTCTCAAACTTGTTGCACTGACACATATCTCTATAGATCGAATAACATGTGAAATCAACACATATATTTTAAGTTAGTTCTGACATACATGAAATAGACTGGTTGTTTCGAAATGTTTGATGAGAACCGTGAGCCACAACCAGAAAATGTATACCTAGCGTTTTATTCTTTTTTATGTTTACTATACCATGATAACAATTTTTAATACTGTGTTGTGAAGAAAGCTTACAGTCGCAAAACCTGTGATAATGAAAGAAAAAAAAAGAACTCACAGATACCTTGATATATAATGCCTCTATAGCTAACGTTCTAATATATAAGTATACAAATTGTTAAACACATACACTCTGTTGATTTGTTCTCCTGGCGTTTAGATTTTCATTCAATGCAAGTTATCTAATCATTGGTTGTCTTTCAATAAATCGTAATGTCATTTATGTGCTTTGGTATAGAAGGAACTTTTCTGGGGTCTCTGTTAAAACATTTTATTTTTTGTCCCTGGATAGCCACTGTAAATTCAGAAATTATTTTGAGGTTTTATTAATTCGAATAATGCGACTGAATGAGCATTCTTATGACTGATACTTATAACTGTAGGCAGATTTTCCTGAAATCGCAACAATTAATCTCGCATTTAAGTCCATTGTACAAAATTCGCTATAATAAATGCACGCAATAATTTCTGAATTTACAGTATCTCACTAATATTTACCTACTTATACATTTTAGAAACAAATATAACAAAGTAAATTCAAAAAGTCCATAAAAACTGACAGAATCAAACGTCTTCAACAAACGGAACGAGTGGGGAAAAAAACTGTCATACTCTTGACTTGGTACAGGAATTTTCCGAAAAAAAATGGTGGGTTAAACCTGGTTTAGTAGTTAGCTAAACCCCCCACTTGTATGACAGTTGTTTATAGTTCCAGTATATTGACAAAATTTATTTTACATTTTTTGTTTACCCATTTCCACCTACAATTTTCTTAGCATTGGGACTTGAAGCTTCAGTTGACATTTATATGACATGTGATAACTAACTATGTTGCTAATTACAGGTGAATACCAAAACTTATTTTAGCCAATTATCTGTCTTTATCTATGCTTATGTTATATTAAATGATATACCATGACCATCACTGGTTTGATAGCTATATAGCCTGTTAAAATGCTGCATATCGGCATTGAAATGTTTATTTTGGCATAAACTTAATTAGCACCACAATAACATAATCGTTCTGCTTTAAAACCTCTAGTCCGTGATTTCTTCAGTGTGCGGTTTATGGAACGACATTGAATTGCACGCAATATGATTGTTACGCAAGTTTAAGGCGTGATGTTAAAAAAAAACAATCAAATAATGAGGGAAACATTGGTCAGTTTATTTTTCTCTATCATGTTCTACATAAAACGTTTTAGTGAGACCGATGAAGCTTTAAATTTAAAGAAGTCAAAATCCAAATGAACATAACACAATCATAACATAACTGAAAAACATGTCGGTACTATTGTGTTCAGTTGCACAGCCCACATACATCTAAAAGATTATCGCGTCTCTATGATTGAATGAATTCATCCAATTGTTTTGATATTGTATTCATCAATTTCCCTATGGGCGAAAAAGTAGAATCTATAAAATAAGGAGAAAGTGTATGATTTTCAATCCCTATTTCACAAACTACAAACCCTTTAAATCTTTTCCAGACAATTTTCACTAAAAAGAGATATTGTCAATCAAGTTGTTTTCAGTTTGATATGACTGTCACAGTGAAAAAGGCATTGTATTAGAGTTGAACAAGCCATTATAATAAATTTACTATATGTTATTCATGTAGGTAATGATGTATCTAGAGAGCCTTATTACGAATTGGTTGAACACAACGAGAAACTCTTTTTAAATAAAGATATTATTATTATTGATATTACTAATATTAGAAATCAGTAGGCGTTCTACTTTGTGAATGTGAACTAGTATAAAAGTCAGTTTTTTCGCTATCAAAATGAATTATGATTCTTTCATTAATATATATTAAATTTGAGATTTAACGGAAACAAAGAGGTATATGGTGTAAGATCACAACATACATTTGAAAATATAACAAAAGCAAAGGAACGCATGTAGTTTTTTTTGAAAGCTAGCTGTTGACAAATGTCTCAATTTGTTTAGTTTACATTTCACTGTCCTCAGAAATCATTGTTATAAGCTATACGGCCGTTTCCAGATATCTAGGCAAATCTAGAAATAAAATATAAAAGTTCGTTTACAAAAAGAAAAAAATATTTTTACTGATAAAAATGCAAGAAATTGATCATGAATAAATCAACAGCATTCTTAAAATTAATATATTCGTGTAGACGGCATTAAATGTAAATATGTTTTATTCGGTAAATGTGTGTCGACGATAGATCTGTGTAAGTCTCTATTAAATTCAATCAAAATGTTTTTTAACTCTTGGCGATTTAAAGTTAACTTAGATATATTTTACATACACCTTTCTATTGTTAATGACAATATTTTCGAGATTTATGCTATGGATAAACATTTTCTCTTCTTTAAAGGATTATCAGCCTGGTTACGAACTTGACATATATAAGCGATACCAGTGAAAATTGAAGAATTTTGAAGATCTTCAGACATCTTTTTATTTGTTCCAATGCATTGTTACTGTCTCATTGACGTGTACCTCTCATCTCTTGTTTTAGAATATAGCATGTAATCTAACACTTTCAGTACACAAAATTCTTTTTTATTTCGTTGTAAAATTTCACAAAGATTGAACTAGTATACATGGAAATGTACTGTTTTGGCTTTTTTTGATATACAAAAAATACCCTGGCGGGTGTCGTTTGTTAAACAGAAACTTTGGACACTTTAATAGCAACGCATTGATAGTTCCAGGTTTTCATGTGGTTCGTGTTGTGCAATCGGTAGGATTCGCACATTGTGTTTTGATATTGTTATATTTGTCACTTTTCGCTACTCTTTTTTGGACACAGGCGCTCGATGATATCAACATATGGTTTGTATTCGCCATCTTAATATCTACTTCCTCTGTTTATGTAAGAAAGAAGAAAAAATATTTCATAGCAAGATTTAAATTGTTTTCTACACAAGAGAATGATATAGAATTTTCAAACAATCAAAAGGCGCTTCTTTTTGTTTCTCTGTGTTTGTATTTTATTTTTTTTAACGGAGAGGTGGCCGGGGGGATAATCTACATAGATAGCTACCTGAACTGTTATCACGATTTATATTTCGACATTTTCTGATCAATGATACAACACCAACGATGGTAGCAACAAGGACAGCAATAGAACTAATGGCAGCAAAAACTATTTCCAATGTCCGTTCAGCTAATAAATAAATAAAACATTTCATGATATGAAACAATTTATCATTGAAGAAGTATCAAATATATTTGAAAACAGAAGCATCAACAGGTTAAACTTTATCACTTTTTTTTATCATGCATGAATTGTTAGACTATAATGAATTACTCATCTAATAGTATTTTGGTATTTTTTTAATTTGTGTTGATCATATATAATGAGAAAGCTACTGAAATTGAGAGTAACAAATAAACATTCAAGAAATCGTTGGGCATACAATACGAGTCCATTCAGTTTTACTGTGAGAAAAACTAATAGAAGCCGACAATCGCCTTTATATTTACGTTCCGCTCTATGGATGATGTCGTTTCCTTTGATCATTGAAAGTTTTGTGACGATGTTAACTACACCTATCTAAATGAATTTAAAAGAGGTTCATTCAGGACATCACAGAAACAGTTACTCATTCTTCATATCTAAGCTTACACCTTGAAGTTGACAATGAGTGCTGGTTGAAAACTGCATTTTATAACAACAGAGAGGATATCAGCTTTCCAGTTGGAACTGTTCTGTGTAGCAACATTACAGTAGCATCTGCATACGGAGGACTTATCTTTAATTTGATACAATATTTCGGGTCCTCTGATTCCCATTATGATTTTTAAAAGGCTTTCTGGCCCAATCAGTTTGACAGTTTATGAATTTGAATTTAACACGGACATGTACCATTTGTCGAAACAATTACGCGGTCCTCTTTTTCTCAATAACGATTTTACTGAATGCTATTTACCACCAATTTTCTGCTTGCAATTTGTTACACAAGATGTGCCAATAATGTAGCGAGAAGTTCGAACCTTTCTAGAACATCTGAGTTCACTCCTTCGTTATACCTGTTGTTCAGTCTTTAGTTTTTGTTAAATGTTCTATTATTATTTGTTCTGTCATGGTGTTGTCTATTTTATGTTGTCTGTCATGGCGTTCAAAATAATAAGCCTAGTATATTTGGTTTGTTTTATAGTTGGTTTTAACAGTGCGTTAATTTAAATAATAAAATATGTAAAATACCTCCAGAATCAGAATCAGAAAGCTCAATCTTTAGATTTTTGTTGTTTTCTTTATAAACTGTAAAGGAAATGAATAGAATAGTAATTGGATAGCATGATCTAATTTTTAGTAAAGTATTAAAGATATTTGTAAATGTGTATGTTAATGTGTAAATGTTACCCATAAAGTAACAAACATAATATGGTTTATAAGACATAGTGTGATAATTTGTGAGTCACACATCAAGTTTAAACATCAATAAGTTCCATGAAGATAATTCTAAGTTAACATGAAATAACACTTTATGAATTTTGTGCGTCTGAAGCGCTTTCCCGGATTTACCTACATCAGGAACACTCCAACCCAAACATTTGAATGTCAAGGATGTATAAGATCTGAAACACGTGAAGAACCACGTGACAAAAAGGAAAAAATCCAAATTCATTTGAGGTCAAGTTTGCTTGAGGGAGTTGGAATGTTATATGTCGTTTCTTAATTATTGAATTCAATTATAATCTGAGAATTCAAGAAAGGTACGATCAAAATCTTGCCAGTACAGAAGCTTTGACTATTAGATTGATGATACTACATTCGGGTATTACAGTTCGCCATCAATGGTTTACGTGTATGCTGCTAATGAAATTACCTTCATCATACGTCCAGATAATAGTAACATTAGGAATTACACAAATATTTTGCTTTTGATGGAAGTTATCAGGATAACGTTCTGAAAAGTGTTTGTTCATATGCACATTAGTGCGGCCATGACGCTCATCAATGACCATTTAACATGTTAATTATAAAGAAAACATTTCAATTCATAACAAAACCTAAGACGTATATTTTATTGATATTTCATTTTCGTTGATGAATACTCGTTATCTTTTGTATTACTATAGAAACAAAAAAATAAAATGTAATTGTATTTACATTTTTACCATGCTAAATTATTTAACGTTTTAAATTTTATTGTGATGTCCTCGCTTTAATTATTTAGAGACCGACACCTCAAAGACTATTTTTGGGGAGTTCACATGGTTTGTAAATAATTCAAAATAATTTTAAACTGTCGACGAAATATGAATATAATTGAATAATGCGTCCCTAAGATAAACACCTAAATGTAACTCGCTGGAAAACGCATTTAGTTCGTCGCAAGGCTTTGCAAAAGACAAGGATTCATAGCTATGCTTGATGGAAACTCATTTATTAATTTAAAGTTTTTTTTTAAGATACTGAATCAAAAATAAAAAAAACAATACCCGTTTATTCATGCAAAATCAGAAGTACAGGGCTGTTTTTACCCTCTGCTCTAACAGTTAACTAGCAAATGCGTTAACCCAGAGGTTGGTCAACAATCGGTCGCTCGTAAATGTTATGTTTAATTAAAATGAAAAAAAAATACATTTAATGTAATAGCGCACCTATTAGTGTTGTAGGTCTACTCATTCCTGTTCCTATCTCGTTTGTAGCATAACAAATATAGTCTCCTGAATCTGATATTTCAGTTGTTCTAAACGTTAAAGAAGGTGTAACTATCGTTATGCCATCAGTACCGGTTGCCCCTTCTTTTAATATAACAACACTGTCTTCAGATGTTTTGGTCCAGTACACTAAACCATGCTTAGGGTGCGCTTTGACTGTACAAAGAAGTGTAACCCCATCTCCTTGCTTGGTTGTGTATTTTGATAAACCTATGAAAACTTTGGGAATTCCTGCAATAACAAAAAAATCTGTCTTTATCGAACACAATTGAATCATGCAGTGAATCTTTACAAAGCGTCTATCAAATGAATATGTGACATACTTATGACACATGTGGCATATAAACAATATGAAAATAAGAAGATCCGGTATGATTGCCACTGAGACAGCTTTACATAAGAAACCAACTTGGATATTTTTTGTTTTTTTGTTTTTTTGTTTTTTAAAAAGGAATTGTCATTAAATATTAATTCTAAAGATAGTCAACATCATCCAAATTAAGAAAACATCCTGGCTTTATTACCTTCAGAGTTCAATATATAGACAAGTACCTCAAACTAACTATTCTTGTAAAATTTGCAAATATTTTATTTGATGATTTCAATCCACTTGAATGTGACAAACCAAATAAGACTTAAGACTTATTACCGGGTTTGTCCTTACACGAGCAACACGACGGTGCCATATGTGGAGCAGGATCTGCTTACCCTTCCGTAGCACCTGATATCACCCCCAGTTTTTGGTGGGGTTCGAGTTGCTCAGTCTTTAGTTTTCTTTATTGTGTTTTGTGTACCAGTGTTTGCCTGTTTGTCTTTTTCTTTTTTAGCGTTGTAAGTTTATTTTTGACTTATGAGTTTGATTGTCCATTTGGTATCTTTCGCCCCTCATTTGATTCCTTTTCTTATTTCTTTAAAATGTTTAAAGAACAGATTTGAAAATTTGATTGATGTTTATGAACCTGTTAGTTTAATATATAATCCATATAAACGTATTGGTCATTTAAACAAGCTTATTATTAAAGGTTATCAATCAATATTGAAGATACGTTTGTTGACAATATCTTCGTCAGTACTAACATTATTATATTTACAAAATGTTAATTGCAAAACTAAACCTATATTGCTTCCATTTTTTTTACATCAATGCTTGTTTTTCTTCGTTTACAGTTTACTACACGGTATTAGTTTTGATCATTGTTGAGGGCATGATAGTTCGTTGTGGTTGTTCACCTTTTAACTTTATTGTTATGAATAGTTAACCTTTTTGCATATTCATGTCCAGTAGAAAGTTAAGATTTGCATAGCAAATTTTTTCATGTAAGTTGAATAATCAGGCATGTGAATAATTATCAAAATAATGTCGGCTACATACTGCAATATAAGATAATATACCTCCATTAACCGAAAGCTCTATCTGTTGACTGCTTCCAATACCAACGGGATTCTTTGCCATACATGTATAGATACCAATATCAGATGTTGTAACAGTATTGATCGTCAACGATGGAACATCTACCGAAGCACCTCGAACACCAGATGTTTCTTCATTTATGGTCCGCACGAATCCTGACGCGTTATGTTTCCAAAAGACGTCTGTATGTTTAGGGGTGGCGTTAACAAAGCATTCTATTGTGTGTTCATATCCATAATTTGCAGTATATAAATCTGTTGCAATGGAGAGTAGTGGGATGTCTGTGGAATTCAATTCACATTAATGATCGGATCAAATTTTCATATATAAATAAAATTGAGAATGGAAATGGGAAATGTGTCAAAGAGACAACAACCCGACCAAAGAGCAGACAACAGCCGAAGGCCACACATGGGTCTTCAATGCAGCGAGAAAATCCCACACCCGAAGGTGGTCTTCAGCTGGCCCCTTAATAAAATTGTGTGCTAGTTCAGTGAAAATGGACGTCACACTAAACTCCAAAACATTTAAATGAACTAGAATTAAAAAAACATACTAGACTAACAAAGGCCAGAGGCTCCTGACTTGGAACAGGCGCAAAAATGCGGCGGGGTAAAACATGTTTTGTGAGATCTCAACACCACAGTTTATTTCAGATGCAAAGACCCTATGAGTGAATCCATATTAATACCAAAATATGCAATCTTTAATGTAATGACTTGACAACAGTATCGTAACTATATCCTTTCCAAATAAGTCTGTTTAAAGGTTTGGTTAGCTTTCAAGGTATATGCCGACATTTTTGTGCTTTGTTAAGAATATTACCATAAAATATTGGATGTGAAATACCTTCTACAAACTAAATTAGTTAAAAATATTGTATTAATGCTAGAAATATAGTTGGAGACCCTGTAAATCAAGTGCTTTGGTATTGCGTGTACAAACACTTTTACTCTTTTTGTCCTGTTTATGAAGCAACATATTACCGACAACAGCTACTGAATGTATTGAATGTATATATTCTAAAGGAAACTGAATATATGTTTACATACTTGGTACTCTTTCGGACACAATTGTATACAATTTCCAAATGGAATTTCATGACACGAGCCTAAAAGAGCCACAGTCAAAAGAATTTTCCTATACTTTACGTATATTTGTATTGGTACTACTGTTATATCTTTATGTTTACACAAGTAATACTTACCACCAATTACTGTCAAAGATGATGATAAACTCGATGCATGCCCAACAGCATTAATTGCATAGCACCAGTATACACCAGCGTCGCTTTTGGCAGGATATTCAAGTGTTAATGATGGAGTTTCCACAGAAGATCCAAATACTCCCATAGACCCATCAGTTATTGTGAAGTTAAGATCGTTCTTATTCTTGATCCAATACACCATAGTAACAGGTGGATCCGCTGTGATGGTGCATTCTAGAGTAACTATTTTACCATGAACTGTTATGTACAAAGCGTTACCTATTTCAACCTCTGGCAGTGCTAAAACGACAAATGTTGTATAAAAATGACTAGAGGTAAAACAAAATATTCCTCGTGATCAAGAAACTATAGTTCAAACTCCCTCAGGTCAATCTGTTTATGTCATTTTTTGTCATATAGTTCCTAAAGTTGCAGGGTATTGATGCATCCCGTGCTTTTAGGTGTTGATGTGTAAGCGTTCCTGATGAATTTAAGTCGAGAAAAGCGCTCATGAAGCAAGAAATGTATAAAGTGTTCATTTTATTTAGTATGAGAGTTTATACTGCTACCTGTAAGTCGATTGTACCTGTTTGTACCCGAGGGAGTCATCAGTTCAGTAGTCAGTGCTTCGGTATCGACTACTATCCGACCGAGATTGGATGACATAGATAGTAGCAACTGTAGGTCACCGTATGACCTTCAATAATGAGCAACACTCCTTACCTTACAGCACGCTATAACAGGCACCTACATGACAAAATATCTAACAATTCAAACGAGGAAATTGAACCATGCACCTACCTGATTTATTTACGTAACATCAAGCGAAAAACAAATATGATATACAGCTACAAATAATAACCACTGAACTATTGGCTCCTAACCTTGGATATGCACATACTGAATATGGCGTGATTAAACGTCATGTAAATGACTTCAAACCCTTCCCCCATATCCTTGGACAGTTGTATAACAGCACAACAAAAGAACAAACTATAAAAATCAGCTGAAAAGGCTTGACACTGAGTACTCTCAGATACTGAAAGCTTGTTCAACTACAATAATAACTGATACACAAATGATGTATGCAAGACTTATTATCAATCAGTACACAGTCAATATCCAGTGGAATTAGTGTAAAGACGTCATAAATAGAAAAGATGACCTAGTGCAATGCCAAAATATAAGTAGCGACAGGTATAGAACCGTAAGTATTAATAAATGTATAACAATATATATTTAGATGTTTTTTTAATTTATTGATAGCAAAAACATTATCTTTAATATTCAGGTAGCACATTCAGCAATTAATTTCGAAAAATAGTTTCAACTTGCTCAGGCAAGTTAGACACTGAGTGAATCACCATTCTGTTTTGTATGAATATATAGTTCCTTCAACGCCGCAAATATTTCGGTTTGACGGTTCCGTATGAAGGTTCAGACGCAAATAAATAAAGTGTTTATTTCTTTTGCCATATAATAAAAAAATGTCTACGTGTTTGCAGGATAAAACGAAAAACAGAACCTCATAAAAAATATAGAATTTTTCTCTCAACAAAACTTTGACTGTATGTGATACATACGTTTTTGGAGGTTATAGCATTAACATATAAACAATATAATTTATTTCAAAATAGCATTGAACATGATACGTTAGACATACATGTAAGATGTTGTTTACCGATCCCGGAAATTTAGATACGATACGGGTAAACAAGTCAATCCTTTAAATAAACTTATTCTAAAAGTTAACCAATTCAACACTGTAATAAGATCTTCAAATATTGTTTTATTGGTAAAAATATTGAATTTGTTATCAGTTAATTTAAACAAAACTAATATTAGTGTTATAAACATATACATATACACATTCACATTCACATTCATGGTTCAACACTCCGTCGATACCTGTATTTTGGCATTGCACAAGGCAATGTTTTTCTCTGACTGTTAATGACGTCTTACACTAAATCCATTGAATGTTGGATGTGTACTGATTGATACTTTTATCTTAGATACATGATTTTGTATTAAGTTGTTATTGGCTTTGAATCAGTTTTCGGTAACTGAGAGTACTCTCCGATCTGTAGTTTGTGTCTTTTTTGTTGTAGTGATGTATAAATACCCTGCCACGTTCGGGCTGTGTTTTTGTTACTTGTTATCTGCTTTGTATCGATCTGACGAGTTAAGCCCTTTTCAACTGATTTGTATAGTTCGTTCATATGTTGTACTAATACCTACTGTCCTAGGTTAGGATAGGGTTTGGCGCCCGCTTACATGTTTAACTCCACCACATTGTGTATGTGACTAACCCAAGTCAGGAACCCGTAATTCAGTGGTTGTCTTTTGTTTCTGTATACCATATTTGTATTTCGTTTATTCTTTTGTACATAAATCAGGCCGTTAGTTTTCTCGTTTCAATTGTTTTACATTTGTCAATTCGGGGCCTTTTATAGTTGACTATGCAGTCTTGGTTTTGTTCATTATTGAAGGTCGTACGGTGACCTATAATTGTTAATTTCTATGTCATTTGGTCTATGGTGGAGGGTTGTCACATTGAAAATTAAATCACATCTTCTTATTTTTATAAATAAGAACTAGAGGCTCTAAAGAGCCTGAGTCTCTCACCTTGGTCTATGTGCATATTCAACAAGGAAAACTCTCCAACATTGCAGACGAGAATAGAATCATGACAAAAATCTCTGTTTTGTTGATCTTGTATTGCTGATTTCTTTGTCTGTTTAGTTTCTCGTTATCTTCAGATTTTGCTCATACACAAAAGAGGTTAAACAAATCCTCATTTAAGGGCAATGACTCCTATAAACAGTGACAATCTACTAACTGTATCGGCAAAATTTGACTTGTTAATAGATCTTGCTTTGCTGATCATTTTCTTTATTTAAAGTGTCTATATATCTATTATAATTTTTATAATTTTATCATATAAGGCAAAACGCAAAAAAAAATGATAAAAATCGTCAATAAAGGGCAATAACTCCAATAAGGAGTCGACTGACGATTTTAACCATGAGATTTATTTGTAGAACTTGTCTTGCTGATTATTTTCGCAATTTAAAGTTTCTCTGTATCTATTGTAGTATTCAAGATAATTAGGCAAAAATGGGGAAAAAATGGTACAAGTTTTCAGTTAAGGGCAATAACTCCTATAAGAAGTCGTCTGACAGTTTTGACATGAATAGACAATTGGTAGTGCTCAACATTCTGAACATTTTTGCTCTGTCAGATTTTCTTTACTTATAACGGTTTTCAAAATAAAAGACAAAACTTATTGTTCTATTATTTTATTTTCGTTTACAAATAAACTGATTATAAAATGTAAAAATCATTCAAAACACTATGGGTTTTATTTTACCATCAGAAATAAATGTCATTCGTTCTACAATATCTTCAAACTCGTTATAGATTTGAACTTCTCTTTCCATCACTGCTGTTGATTCTTATGTAGGAAGAAATCGTGACTAGCGTATTCAATTATTAGTCCGGAACCTGTGAGGTTATTGTACATCTTGTTGTTAGGACATTTTTTTATCAAGTACCTAATCATCTATTACGAATGTTCGAATACAAATAAGTAAGTGGTCTTGCATTTTACAAGCTGGCAATTAAAAAAAGGGGTTGAGTTTGATGTTCTAATATCTTTATACCGATCTAAATCAAACACTTGGAGAACAAGCAACTGGTCTCTGCTATCAATACTAAAATGTATATTTCTTAATTGTTCAAAGTAATCGAATTGTTAATGACAAGGAAACAACGAGACAGAAATTGATGTTATTGAATTAACCTTTAAATTATCTTTTGCACTTACCTCCAACAACTTTGAGCTTTATTTGACGACTAATTCCAATGCCAACGAGATTCACAGCGCGACACGTGTACATTCCACTATCCAATGTTGTAACATAGAGTATGGTCAATGACGGTACTTCTAGTGAGCAACCATGTATTCCAGCTGTTCCGGCTGTTATAAGCTTTGAGCTATTATTAACTCTTCTTTCCCAGTACACATCTGTTGGTTCTGGTGTTCCACTTATTTGACAAGTTAACGTAATATTACTACCAAAAAAAGTTAAATATTCATCATGCAAAATCCCAGCAACCGGAACTTCTGGAAGAAAAATAAAAACAATACAAACGCTTTACGAAGGCTATTCTTTATTATGTGTCGTATTATACGACTGTCGCGATAGGGGTAGGTTTTCACGGACATAAAATGACTAAGGTTTACCTAATTTTCCCGAACATGTATAATTTGTCTCCTTTTCTCGAACTCGCGTTTCACTTTCAGTTTCTTGTGTTATCAGTTAAACTTTCATACATTGTCAAAAATTGATCTTTCGGGTTAATTGACAAATTTTCTAAAGGCATTTCAGTTCTTGAAGATCGGACATATCTACCTTTATTATCAAGAATTACTACTGTCTATGCAACCTTCTGAATACCTGCTACATACACAGAACGATACAGTCATTTCGCTTCAACCAGGAGTTTTATTTTATCTTGGTTAGTATTTTCAAATTGATATACGATTCGAAGAAACACAGTCTTCAGAGTCACCACCAACATTTTGTTACCGATACGATGTGATTATTTATGAACTCACGAAAGATATGTTTTTGGTGTGAGATATTTTCAGGACACCAGAATACTGATAATTTTTGACTGGGCTGTTTTCAAATGGAAGATAATATACGCATACATTTCGACTTAACCGAGAGTGCTGGCTAAGGATTTGCTTGTGGTTCCTTCGTTTTTGTCTTTGTTTTTATATACAAAAAGGACTTATCTGAACATCTGTAAATTGATGTTAACTTTTACTACTCACATCAGGTACTGGATATAACATAACGTGTGGTTCATGCGTTACAGAAAATACTTACCTTATTGACCATTGTGAAACAGCTGGTTGCTCCCCGATTAGGATCCCAACGATTCTTAAAGTTGAAAGTATAGCCTTTTTGGGGGTATGGCTTTACAGTGTATACAGCGAACTTAATAAAAGAGTTATTAATAAAAACAAAATCGGCGCCATACATATTTAGTATATAATAATTATTCACTACTTATTTTGAATTTTTACACAACTTTGAAAAAGTCAAATGTTAAATTGTTACTTAATCATCATACTTCATGTTTAAATAGGAGATTTTCATCTGATAATATTATTGTGACATTCTAATCTAACTTAGAACATTGTTAGCCTATTCATTTACCGTAGATTCATTTTCTAGAATCAACGCTTCCTAAATCTGTCGCTTAAATAGACTCACAAAATTATATTCAATTGTTTCCTTTGTTTGCCAATTTACTGATTTCTGTTCATTAATGTAATTAATTTAAAAGTTTACCTTTAATTTTTTTAAATCTTTATATGCCTCCTCCTTGATATCTGTTATATGTGACTGACATAAACACATCGACGAAACCTCTCGGCTACCAATGGGTTGCAATTTGAATATCTAGTTTATATATAAAAATGAACATATAATACACATCGGTACAACGGACACACAGGACTTGTACCTTTATGTATACATAATAAACAATCGTGTAGTATACGTTGGTAGCCGCGAGGTTAACATGGTTCATATCAATGAGTTAAAGAGTAGAGACTTGTCGGTTTAGGTTCGAATCTCTTTGTTGTCCCTATTCTTTAGTTTTTCCGTTTTTTTTATTTTGAATGTCACTGTGGATTTTTTTGTAATAATAGCGGGTTTTCCCGTTTATTTTGGGAATATTATTGGCTATTTCACATAATTAAAAAGAAATTGATTACATTCAATTTGTCCATTTTTTGTTTTATCAATATAGTATGCTTAAGTTTTCATCGGTTTTACGTAACATATCTTTACGAATGTTTATTCGCAAATCCTTATGCGATTAAATCGTGATGTGTCTTGAATTAGACTTCTTGATAGAATTTTCGATAGCATACTTATTATATGTACTTAGAAATAAGTTCTAATATGTTTTATTTTGTAAATTACGGATGATATTCAGATGCCTGATACTTTAAAGACATACGTATTATGTTATATTTGTATTTCTCTAACCAATTAATTGTGAACTTATTTATTAATGCATCGTTGAACATGAGAACATGGTTATTTAAACTCACCTACAATACCTTCTAATTAAGAAAAGGCTTTAATTTTGAAAAGACATCAACACAATAGTTTAAGTTGGAGATACAATGAATAAGCGGGCTCCTGGTTTCTTTTTCAAGGAACAACGCTTATTCATCGTATCTATAATACAGACAAAATGACCCAACACGTTATAAATTCCATGCGCTCGAACCGCTTTTCTGGATTTACGTTCATCAGGATGCTCAAAGCCGAAAATTTGAAAGCCAAGGATGCATAAGAACCGAAACATTTGAAGAACTATATGAAGAAAAAGGACCCTGAGGGAGTTGAAACCTTACTTTCTTTATGATTTTGAAATTTATAAACGGATAATTTTAGAAAGGTTTGTTATAAATCATGTCAGTACCGAAGTTCTGACTGCAGAGCTGATGATACTCTCGGAGACCCACAGTACACCAGCAGAGGTATCGACCCAGTGCTGTAAAAATTGAAAACAACACGTTATAAATTTCATACATCCGAAGATCTTTTCTCAATTAACCTTCATCAGGAACCCTCAAAGCCGAAAATTTAAAAGCCAAGGATAAGTAAGTGACATTTGTGGTGTTACCGCTCGAATAAACCTATTAGGTTTATAATAGTCTCTATCATCCCTTTAGCTAAGTGTTAGTAGTATACATTATAACAATAACATCTTTAACCACGTTTTTGATTGGAGGATGTCTGACGTCAATATGATATTGAACGTTCGAAGTCTTTAGCCAAAATGATGCGCAATCATAATTTACGTTTTCTGATCAGTCAAATAGCAATACCATTACTCTGTTTGAAGAGTTGTTATCGTAAAGTCCTTAACTGTCCGGAGAAGCTCTTCAAACATAGTACTATCATTTATTTCATCGAAACTTCTTTCATTTATGATCATATTGCTACGGAAAGAAATTGAAAAAAATGGCATTTATTTTTTTATTCTAGACTGTATTTAATGCTACAGTTAAAGTGGATAGAATCTTGATGATGAAACCCAGATGGTTGATTTTGTTTCTAAAGATACATGTGTTTCATGTAAACCTTTGTTTTACCTCCAATTACAGTAAGCTTTATCTGCTCGCTACATCTCGTCCCAAGAAGATTCGTAGCACAGAAGATATAAAATCCGATATGGAACTTTGTTGGATATACAATTGTCAGTGAAGGGATCGTCACGTTACCACCTTCTATCCCAACTGTTCCTTGTTTGATATTTGACACTTTTTCATTTGGTTTGAACTTCCAATACACTTCTAATAGTGGTGGTTCACTTTCAACAGAAATGTCCATTGTAACGGTCATACCAAAAGGTACTTCTATATATGTTTTATTTGGTTGGCTTATAATAGGAGCATCTAGAAATTTCAGATACGAAATGAATAAAAAAATGATAGCACATTTGTATAAAACAATATTGAAAACAAATAATGAGCATACACGTTTGTTTTTCGTTTATAGTTTTGTATATAAATCAGTCTGTTTGTTTTTTTATTTGTTGTTTGAATTTTTTCACATTCTGCCATATGGGGCTTTTATGCCCTACTATACGGTAAATATTTTGCGCATTGTAGAATGTAGTAGGGTGACCTATAATTGCTTATGTTTTCGTCATTTGGTCTGTGGTGAATAGTTGTATAATTATACCCCCGTTTCATCACTCAGCAAATTCTTGTTTACAGTCAAGAATTTGGGCGGGGGTATCATCAATGAGCAGTAGCTCACAGTTCCGCTTGTTAACAATCATTACACAATTTCATTTTTTATGTATATTATCTAAGTCATTTGATCGGCAATTTTTCGATTATTTCCTAAACCCGATGGTGATGCACGCCTAGCAGGAGACGTTTACTTTGTCGACATACCTGATCTTATCTTTATAGTTTATTCTTAACCACTTGTTTTTGTGTTTTACCTTGATTTGGATATTTTTTGGATGCTATAGAGAGATAAGAAGATGTGGTATGAGTGCCAATGAGACAACTCTCCATCCAAGTCAAAATTTATAAAAGTAAACCATTATAGATCAAAGTACGGTCTTCAACACGGAGCCTTGGCTCACACCGAACAGCAAGCTATAAAGGGCCCCAAAAATAACTAGTGTAAAACCATTCAAACGGGAAAACCAACGGTCTAATCTATATAAAAAACGAGAAACGAGAAATATATGACTGTCATTCAAGTGAGATGTTCAGATAGCTATAACACCAGGTTTAATTCACCATTTTCTACATAAGGAAATGCCTATTCCAATTCAGAATATGACAGTTGTTTTTAATTCGTTTGATGTGTTTTAGCTTTTGATTTTGCCACTTGATAATGGACTCTCCGTTTTGCATTTTCCTTGGAGTTCGGTACTCTTGTTATTTTTCTCTTAATGGATTTATGAGCTTTTAACATATGCAAAATACTAATGACTCTATGTCTATCAAGTAACTTTATATATATTTACAATACGCAAACTCTATTTACCAGCTTTATTTGTAGAACATATAAGAATTATGTTCTTCTGTTAAACATAATTTGTACATCTCTACTATCACGATTATATTTTATTAGTAGAAAATGTATTGAATATTGTAATTAAGAGAAAGAATGAATACTAACCGCCAATGACTACCAAATTTGTTTCAAGACTCTTTCCAATTCCAATCTTATTTCGTGCACAACAGATGTACGTTCCTGCATCCGCAACACTGACAAACGCTATTGTCAAGGACGGAAAACCAACAGACGCACCTGATATCCCAGACAATCCACTATGAAGAATGAATAATCCATCGTCTACATGCCTTTCCCAAAATACTGACAAAACAGGAAACCGGAGGGATCTAATTGTACATTTCAGTTTGACCGATCTTCCAAACGCAACTTTGTATGCACGTTTTTCAATGTCTACCACTGGAACATCTGAGAAAGAGAATTGTTCAACCTCAATCCGTAAGAAACCAATGGTTAAAACAAATTGTTTTCTTATATGCAATGAAATGTTATGTGAAATGTTCATTGTAGTTTTAGACAAATGGGACTTTATTCATGCTTAATATGTTTTTATTTATAACAAAGGTAAAATCAGCACAATCTTTTTAAATGTCAATTAAACTAAGACTAACCTTAGAGGAACCATTGTGGCTTTACTCCAATTTATTGCAGTATATGCACCTGTGACTAGTATATGCTATCATATTTTTAGATGATTTCGTATAATTTCATTGAAATATTGCAAAAATTGCACATTCTTTGTGGGCTGAGTCTCAAAAACACCTTTTCGGAAAATTTGCCCTACAAAAGGGCTATACCATGCATGGTATGTCATATTAGAGATTTCAAATAAAATGACATACGTACGTAACTCGACGTATATGCACCTGTGACTAGTATATGCTATCATATTTTTAGATGATTTCGTATAATTTCATTGACATATTGCAAAAATTGCATATTCTTTGTGGACTGAGTCTCAAAAACACCTTTTCGGAAAATTTGCCCTATAAAAAGGCTATACCATCCATGATATGTCATATTAGAGATTTTAATGGGATTGGATATTGCCAACCAATGAATTTGATTAAATACGTCTCTCAAGTTTAAACAAAGTATCCCAAGACTTTTCAAATCACACACTCGAATTTTCGTCCATATAAAATAATTTTATCTTGACGAAAAATGATAGAAATCTTGCTTTTTTATTTATCACGTGGTATTCCAAATTCCCGCCTTTATTTTTACTGACATAAGATCACGTATAAATACACGTATTCCATACCTATCATACGTACGATTTAGGCTATCTTTCATGGTTTTTATTATGACATTTATTTGTTAATTTACTTTGCAGATGAACGCCCCATTATACTTATTTTTTGTCTTTCTTTATAGTTTATCTATCTTATCTTTTTATTATATTTGTTCCAGGGGAAATATTTAGAAAGATATTTTTTTCGGATATATCGAAACCACAGTTTGTCAGAATCTGTATATTTAAAAAAAGTTGAAAATTGAAATAAAACTATCGCTTCCATTCAATTTCTAAACATGAGTATTTTTCATTTATTATAAAATATATTGATAAAAAATCCCTATATATGTTGTTTTATAGATCTAAGGTGTGTTCGATAAGGGATTGATCTGTATTATTTTTACTTAACGGGAACGCTATCGGAGTCCAAATACAAAAGACATTTACAAGGATTTTTTATATCCTTTGAAGTAAATTAACTTATAGTATTTTATCCATTTTGTCGATAAACAATTAAAAGGGGGTCACCGAATACATTTTACTGAATAAATCAATAAAGGAAATGTGTAAGGTAAGTAACATTAAACAACATAATATAATAAGATTTCGTTGGCAGATGCGGATCCAGGATTTTGAAAAGAGGGAGGGGGGGTATAGGCAACTTTAGAAGTGGAACAAAAAATTGAAGTATTATTAAAATGTAGGGCCATATATATAAGTGTTTGTTGCATATGTATTTTACTTATGCATATTTAGGACGAGAAGATGAACATGAACCAGACTTTGTATTATACCGCAGGATGACATGTCATCCTACCCGGACACATAATTTTCATCACGGACCGATCAATCTTTAGTATAACTCCTAAATATTGCGTGCTCGGTAGAGACGGCAGCCAAACTTCGATTTGAAACGGGCGAGGATCGAGTCGAAGACTACCAGCACTCGAGCAATGGTGTAGCTTTCATTGACGCAATGAGGCAACCGCCTCATCAATTTTTGTATCATTACAAAACCATCTACGTCATAGTATAAAGTATACTGAGTGACGACGGTTCAAAACGTCGACCGCTTTATTGTTTACTCACTCATTCCTCATTATTAAAACGTCTTGAAAATGTTCTTTCGTAAAATGAACAAGGAAGATGCAAATATCTTTTTTTACGTAACAGACACAGTAGACCTCGCAAAACACTGATTCAAACAAGAGGCTATAACTTTGAAGCTGATATGATGCTTGATTTTTTTTTTGACAACGAACTTGTTAGTGTTGATGGACAAAGTTTTTCAACAGACGCTTGGCATTCCTACATTTTATGTAGTACTCTTCTACCTTGTTATATATAGGCAAGACTTCATAGTTCACCCAGTTATTATCATCCATACATTTTGAAAAAAGCTAAACGTATAAAATTAAAAGACATAGTGGATCTTAAATTTAATATCCCCAAATCTATACAAAAGCATTTTAGAGGAGGTCATACATATAATTCTGTCAATTATTTTTGTTTCGATCAGAACATGTCTGTAACTGAATACTGAGAATTAAACCTTTAACCAGCAGTTTCATTGAAATATATTGATTTATCTGCTTACCCTTCCGGAGCACCTGGGATCACCCCCAGTTTTTGGTGGGGTTCGTGTTTGTTAGTCTTTATTTTTCTATGTTGTGTTTTGTGTACTATTGTTTGTCTGTTTGTCTTTTTATTTTTTAGCCATGACGTTGTCTGTTTATTTTCGATTTATGAGTTTGAATGTCCCTCTGGTATCTTTCGCCCCTCTTTAAATGCGCACTAGAAATATTATTTCATGATAACATTCCATAAATCTGGGAATTTTATAGACAGGATCTTTTATCTAGTGTGTGACCTATCACCTACACCTATTTTGTGATTCATATTTTCAATTAACCGTCAACTCCCTATTGGCATCGACGTCTTTTAATCAAGGCGAGACTTTGACTGCCAAGATTCAAATCATTTGCCTCACCAGATATAAAATTCAAGTTACGCTACAGTCGATTGATTGATAGTGGGTTGCTTAACGTCCAGTGGCAAATATTTCATGCATAATTAACGTGTAGAGAGCGTGGCATTCTCTCTACAAGAGTCATTGGATTTAACGCTCGCACTCTGATCGGACGGGACTGCGTACTTGTACATCCCGAAAAACCAAACAGACTCCCCACTTTGGCAATGGTTTAACTGCCGATCGGAACAAGACCAATAATGACCATATTTCTATTCCCGCGATTACCTTTGAGGGGTTACTTTCGAGGCGAGTGCGCGACCAAAGAGACAGTTATGAATATTAGAAAGATACATATACATGTACGTGTATTGATCAAAACATTTGCAACAAGATTAGCCTTAAGACACCGTGCTCTTTCACATGATCATATTTCCATGTTCAGTGCACCACTTAATCCGGGTCAAACTCTGATTTGGTATATAATTTTAAACGTTCAATATTTAAACAGAACAGAAGAACGGACGGATGCACAGACCAGGAAATATAATATCCCCTTGCTATCATAAGTTGGTAATAAAACTAAAATGATCATCTTACTTAAAAAAAAAACTTCAATCAAATATTCCGTACATATAAAAGAGAAGATGTGGTATGATTGCCAATGAGACAACTCTTCACAAGAGACCAAAATGACACAGAAATTAACAGCTATAGGTCATCGTACGGTTTTCAACAATGAGCAAAGCCATATCCCATAGTCAGCTATAAAAGGCCCCGAAATCACAAATGTAAAACAATTTAAACGAGACAACTAACGGCCTAATTAAGTACAAAAAAATGAACGAAAAAAAAATATGTTACACAGCAACAAACGACAACCACTGAATAACAGGCTCCTGACTTTGGACAGGCACATACATACATAATGTGGCGGGGAAAAACATGTTAGCGGGATCCCAACCATCCCCCTAACCTTGGACAGTGGTGTAACAGTACAACTTAAGAACGAACTATAAAAATCAGTTGAAAAAGGCTTAACTTATCAGATGGATACAAATAGAAATATATCTAACAAAAACACAGAGTGGACGTGGCCGGGTACTTCTACATCCCAACAACAAAAAAACACTAAGTACAGATCTTAGAGTACTCGTAGTTACTAACAGCTAGTACAAAGCCAATTACAACTAATAAAAAAAAGCATGCACCTTAGACTAAATTATCAATCAGTACACATCCAACATCCAATGGCTTTAGTGTAAAGACGACATACACAGTTAGAGAAAAACATGACCTTGTGCAATGCCAAGATACAGGAATCGACAGATTGTAGATCCATGGAAGTGCATATGTATAAAACAATAATATTTAGTTTGCTTTTAATTTACTGATAACAAAATCAATATTAATACCAATAAAAACAATATTCAAAGATCTAATTACAGTGTTGAATTTGTAACCTTTTAGAATAAGTCTATTGAAAGGATCAATAAGTTTACCAGGATCGTTTCTGAATTTCCGGGCACGGTAAACAACATCTCCGTAAAAATGAAGATGTGCTATCCCGTTTGAAATAAGTTTTCTACAGGTACAACCAAACTTCAAAACCAAATCATTATATCTATGGAAGCATTTAGTAAAAGTTTTAAGTAATTTGTGGTAACAAAATCCCTGACTTAATAATTTACCAGTAATACATAGATTACGTTCGTTAAAATCTAAAACGTCACAACAGACACAGGCATAGCGAACGAGTTGTGAAATATAAACACAGTAAGATGGTGCCAAAGGAACATCACCGTCTAAAATGGAAAATTAAAAATAGGGAACGACACATCGTCCCTTTTGTCGTAAATATTAGTGTGTAGTTTCCCGTGTAAAACTGAAATATCTAAATCTAGGAAAGGACAGTTATTAGCGTTTACATTTGATGTATTTAAATTAAGTTCCTTTGGGCAAATTTCGGCAGTGTATTTAGAAAATTCTTGATTATTTAACGAAAAAATATCATCAATATAACGGTAAGTGTTGTTGAATTTATTAATTAAATGCAATTTAGACGGGTCTTTACTGAGTTTGGTCATAAACTGTGATGCATAACAGTGCAATAACAAGTCTGCTATTAAAGGGGCGCAATTAGTGCCCATAGGAAAACCTACAATCTATCGATAAACTTTGTTGCCGAAACGTACATACATATTATCAAGGAGAAAATTAACAGCTTTAATCATCTCATCACACAACCAGTAAGCATATCTAGCATATTTACCTTTCTCAAAAGAGAAGAAGGTTTTAAATGAGTTGCAGCAAATATATTTGCATTCATATTTACCAAATGAACATTTAATTAAATAGGAAAACTTTTGTTTGATAAGATTGTGTGGAAGTGTAGTGTAAAGAGTTGAAAAGTCAAAACTGTCAACATAATCAAAATGATCATCAGGAGCACGTAATTTATCTAAAATATCCAAAGAATATGTTACACTCGAAAAATAGTTAATTCCACTATTTTCATATATTTTATTACAAAAGTTTATGATAAGTTCTTTGATAGTAGTTAAGGAACTAGTTAAAAGCACTGAAAGATTAGTCGTAGAACACTTACTACAGACCGAAATGAAACGATATGTTACTTGTTTTTTGTTTAGTTTAGGTAACCAATACATAGTAGGGACCTTCAAATGTTCAGAAGAGGCCTTAAACTGTGATGTGGTTATGATATGTTTGTTTACTATATGACTCTCTGTGACGCACGGACTTGACTGTAGATGAATTTAAAATTTCATTCTTAAGAACGTCCGTGTAGTATTTACGGCATACCACCACCACATTGTTGGCTGCTTTGAAAGTTCTTGAAGTTTATTTCTTTTTCTGGAAATAGGCGTATTATGTACTCTTTTATTTATTTCTGAATTATTTTCAAAATGTGATATTCGAATATCCACAACATTCATACATTTATTTAAATAAGAATTAAGAGATTTTTTATCAAAATAGTTATAGAATTAAGAGATTTTTTATCAAAATAGTTAAAGAATTAAAATAGTAGTTTGTGCTAATTTTTGAATAGCAGATATTCCAACAAAGTATGTGTATTTAACGAGGCAAACATCAATGCAGTCTATGTTCCCCTCCGTCATCCTTCAATGCCATAGGCCGAGATACGTTCAAATAGGTTGGTTATGTCGAGTAGTGTCATTTTATTGGAAATCTCTATTAGTAGAAGAAAGAGTAAGCCATATTCAGTGTTTCGCGGTTTTTTTTCTGATTCGGATGTAAAATTCGGACGCAAGATGTTTGTATAGGGATAAACAATTGTCTTGCTTTCTTCCAGAGTAAAATATTTTCTTATATGCAATGAGGTGATGTGTAAAACTTTCACTGTATCACTGTCCTACATTAATGCCCAGTATTTCTTTCTTTGAAATAAATGTAAATTCTGCACAATTCTTTTAATGTCAATTAAACAAAGACTAAAGAGGAAAAACAATGTTGATATTAGCCTCAAAACAAAGCACAATGATAAAAGATTAAGCAATACAGAAAAAAAAAAATTCATCAAAGATACCAGCTTATAATTTGTACGCCAGACGCGCGTTTCTTCCATAAAAAAATCGGGGAAAATCAGTGACACTCGAATAAAAAATAAATAAATAGCCAAATGCATTAGAATTGTGAAGAGACATTAGGGACCACCAATTCCGAAAGGTTTTGTAAAATACAACAATGGTAATACATGGTTGCATGTAGGACAAATGATGCTGTAACTTATTATCCTTGATATGAATCAGTTTCACCTTTTTGTTTGGGGGGAGAGGGTTTCTATGGGCTGTAGGATTTTCATTAACTGTTCCCCTTTTTAGCTTCAGACACTTTTTTTTAGGGAAAATCATTAGAGGTTGATTACTTGTATCCTGTTTTTAGATCAAATACAACAGAATCTGTCATGACATAGTCACGATTGTAAACCAATTAGACAAAATTGGTTGAGATCGCGAATATGACTGGACGCAAGTAACTGTCGAGAGTGTTTGACCGACCTCTCAGGACCATTCTTGGTCTTGCTTGTTGCCTTCATAGTTTTAGGTTTCTGTTGCATACAGAGAAATCATTATATATTCATCAATAAAAAAATGAATTGAAATTCCTTTTAGGAAATTGTAGTGTTTATACCTTTGACAACTACTATAATGGCATTTTCACTCTCCGTCGTTCCATCCATATGTTTAGCAATGCAGCGATAATTTCCTGAGTCAGCATACGTCAGGTTCCATATCAAAAGTGATGGATACTTGAGAGTGCTTCCGCTATATTTTTTGTAATTTTTAGATGTATCGATATACCAGGATGTATTCGAAAAATTTCTTTCAAAAATCCATTTCACTACAGTCAAGTTATCGTCAGATTTAACATCAGCCATCAGTTTGACATTGTATCCAGGTGGCCAAATATTAATTTGCTTTACACTGTACACGTCTACGGTAGGCTTGGAAGCTGTTCAAATATAAAGATACTTATGTAATACTTTATAAATATCACGTGTCAGATTTTTGCCACTAATTTCACTTTCTCAAAGGAGTATGGTCATGATGGCCTTATATTGGTCTTAAAATTCAAACTCTGTTCTACCATACGTAAAAACCTATGTTAACGAACTTGAATATACAAATGTAGATAACCTCAACCCATTTGCTGTTTGTTGTTCGTTTAAGGTGTAATACCACCAAATCATAGTACGTCACATCCGGTTGCATACGAAAAAGAGTCAAACAAATATTCCCTTGAATTAGTGAGTTGTATGAAATTAATCCTAGATTTCATTGCAGTAAAAGATTTCTGAGTCATAAAGATATATCTTCGGTGTTTCAAAACACCATTCTTTTTTATTTGGTGGTTCTATAGAATATTTTGGAGACTTGAGGTAACATGGTTTCGAAAGCTTGTAAACAGGTAAGAAAGGGTTGGAAATTTGATTGGTTAACTTCCAGTGATGGTTATTCTCTTATATGCAATGAAATATTATGTAAAATTTTATCTGTAGTACTGGACAGGATAAAACTTTACTCACGCCAAGTGTTTCTTTATCTAAAACAAAGATAAATTCTGCACAATTTTTGAAAAGTGCAAAATTAACAAAGACTAATAGGGGAAAACAATGGTGGTATTACACCTAACAACAGCTTCAAAGTATGATATTGTATACTTTATTAGGAAAAATGCCTGTTTTAATGTATATTTAAGGTCTATTTCCTTCTAAAAAAACAAAGGCCACCCCGTTGTACAAAGTAAAACTGTTATATTTGTTCAGATACACATCTTAACAAAAAATATGGTGTTTCTTGTATGTGGCTAACGTCGTTTGAAGCACAAACTATTACAATTTAGGCAAAAATATAGTCAAAATTATGATTGTTTTATAAAGGTACACAATTACGACGTCATTATGACATCACAATTGATCTTATACGTTAGATCTGTATGAGTTTGTATTTGGCAGATATTGTTTACATTTTGTCATCAAATTTTTATTTGTATTGTTTAATTTTAATTTCACAAAATTTTAGGGCCAAAATAGACATTTTGTTAAAATAAAAAAAACCACACGTTATAAGGTTGTCGTTTGTTGCTGTAAATCATATTCTTTTTTCATTTATTGTTTTGTACATAAAAAACCCGTCAGTTTTAAAAAAATGAATTGCTGTACATTTGTCGATTCGGGGCCTTTTATAGCTCGCGATGCGGTATGGTTTTTACTAATCTTTGAAGGCCGTACGTTGACCTATAGTGGTTAGCTTCTCCATCATGTTGGTATCTGGTGAAAAAGCTATCTCACGTCTTCTTACTTTTTCAACAGTTTAAAAACCTGTCAATGATTGATATCCAGCGTCCACAATTGTGTAAACATACAACATATCATTATCACTGAACTAGTAGATATATTTGTTTAGGGGCCAGCTGAAGGACGCCTCCGGGTGCGGGAATTTCTCGCTGCATTGAAGACCTGTTGGTGACCTTCTGCTGTTGTCTGTTCTATGGTCGGGTTGTTGTCTCTTTGACACATTCCCCATTTCCATTCTCAATTTTATCATAGATATAAAACATAACTGAATTAACTAATACAAACATGAAACAAAACAATCGATAAATTACCTGTAAGTGTAACTATATACACCACAAACCAAATCCATGAACAAATCATTTTTCATTGTATGGTTCTGAAAATAAATTCAAAATGTTCACCGTTTCTTAAAACCGTATGATGTTTTCCAAATTCACCTTTATGTATTTGATTGTGTTTACTAATAGATGATTGAAATTAACCAAAATTAAGTATGAATACGTTTTGACCGAATAAGTCATCTATCTAAAAATATCATAATGATCTTTAAACGAGTTCCAATTTTATGCAAGTTTTTTATTGACGCTATATTTAAACTTCCTTCGATCAGATTTTCAAAAATGTAACTTTATATTTTTAAATCTATGTAATACACCATAGTCTTGATCAGGTTCTAAATTTAACTTCATGAAATGATAAAAGAAAATAAAAACCAATCGACTTTAACCGATATGATGATGAGATAGCCGTTTTACCGTACCCAACATAAGAAAAAGAGAAACCAATTCTTTCCTACTTTTCATTTTCACCTTCTATTGATGTGTGTGTGTGTTTTTCTTTTAAATCTGTACATACAGGCAGGTTTTTTAGTAGCAGAGCCTCACTGTTACTACGATATATGTTTATTATTGAAATTCCCAATTACGTCTGTCTTGTTTTCTATTATAATTAAAGAAAAGATATTATCGAGTAAGATATAAAAGTTGAACATTCCTGTTATAATATACATTAGTTTTAAAGAGTGCATTGATTCTATTACAAAGATATTGACGAAAACTTGGTTTTTAATAATATTTTAATGGAAAACGTTGATCAAAAATCCTTAACTATTTTGGCCATAAAAAATGATGGTTATGGATGACTGCTTTTCTGTTTTGTACAAGACCTACACGCTTAGCCGAATTGTCAACGTGATATTTCACAAGGTAACAGTCTGCAGGAAGACATGTTTCCCTATTTTTCATTTTCATTTTTTTCTAATGGATGACCTTTTGCTTTTAACATGAAGTATAATATTTTTAATTTCAATACTCATACACGTGTACGTTGTTAAGAATTTCTGTAAAATTAAACATATCTCCTTCTATTGATGTGTGTGTGTTCTTTTCTTTTAAATCTGTACATACAAGCAGGTTTTTTAGTAGCAGAGACTTACTGTTACTACGATATATGTTTATTATTGAAATTCCCAATTACGTCTGACTTGTTTTCTGTTATAATTAAAGAAAAGATATTATCGAGTAAGATATAAAAGTTGAACATTCCTGTTATAATATACATTAGTTTTAAAGAGTGCATTGATTCTATTACAAAGATATTGACGAAAACTTGGTTTTAGGAAGTCCCTTAATATCGTCCTAAACAGACGGAAAAATATACTTACTCATTACTTATTTCACTTTACTTCAAACATATGAAAATGTGCCATCGGAACGACAAATTCAGCAATGACCATATTCGATCGTTGTTTCTCTTTCTGTGTTCAATATGATATATAACATTAACTTAAATGTTGCTTTCGTTATTGTTAAAGCATTTGTAAAATATGTTAGTTTAAATATACATGTATAAATACGAAAAAATAGAAAATGTTCGATAAGTGTGAAAATATAGAAAAATTAAACGTGTACATATGCTGGAAAGTAGTGACATTAAAAAAAGTAGTTCCTACCTTTTTGATATTTACATTTTAACATATGTATTGTTAATATCAAAATATATATATTACTAAGCTGTATAAGACAGCACATGCATCGGTTGATTGGTTTCATGGTTGTACTTTAATTGTTAAACTCACAATGTATATGAAAATTATACCCAAGGATGTATAAGAATTTGAATACGTGATGAGCTGTATGACAAAAACAGGATCTAATAACAGAATTCATCCAAGAGAACTATATGCCTGGTTTCTTTTTTTTTTCTCTATAATTTGATTAATTTATCAACAAATAACATTGTTATGAAGAAGGTAAGTTTTATATACACAATTTTAATGCAAAACTGTCTTTTCAATTTGATAATATACAAGCTTATATAATCGATGACCATAGATGTTTTCAAAACTCATGCAAGTGTTCGTTATACAGTGATGGTCGATCTCGATAGGAGTATCCTATGGCGCTCATATTTACTTATCTCTATTATATCTTATATGTATAGTCCCATTACAGACAATTTCTTTTAATTTTAAATGTTATTCCGAGCTCTGCACTGTTTTTGGCACGTCTTTTAGCACATCATAGCTGGATATCACTTTTACTGCAAATTAATTTACCTCTGAGGCGATCAACCGATGCATCATCTACTGGATAATATCAAAATATACTACTTAAACAAGTTATAAAAATACGTTTTGTTTATAGATTTTTATCAGGAATATCCACATAACCATATAGCAAATCGGCATGACTTTTTGTATTATGTTAACTGTGAAGCAGTTTCGTGAAAAATCTATTTTTGAGAAATAAAAAAAAAAATCATTAATCTCCCATTTGACATTTTCAGTGTTATTTTGGACCGAGGAGATATCATTTTACCAGATTCGATAAGGCAATGAGAAAATTTAGAATTTTTAGGGCATTTTTGTTCAGCTAATAACATCCACCATGTTAACATTTCTACTGTTTCTTGTCAGTGTATGGTATAAAAATTTAACACAGCTGCTGAACTGTAATATTTACAAATCGTGGCAATCGAAAACATGGAATTCAAGACCAGATTGCAGTTAAAAGTAAAATAACAAAAAACTGAACTCCAAGGAAAATTCAAATCGGAAAGTCCCTTATCAAATGGCAAAATCAAAAGGTCAAACACATCAAACGATTGGAAAACAACTGTCATATTCATGACTTGGTACAGACATTTCCTTAAGTATAAAATGGTGGAATAAACCTGTTTTATAGATAGCTGAACCTCTCACCTGTATGAGAGTCGCATACAATTCTATTATATTGACAACAATGTGTGAACAAAACAAACATACATAATAGGTAAAAATGTCACAAATAGGGGTACAGCAGTCATCATTGTGTTATAATCTAAATCACTATAAAAACAAACAAATATGTCAACAAAGAAAAACGAAATGGCATATAGACAAAGCACATCAGCAAAAATGAAAGACAAGAATAGTACAAAAAAATGGACTAAACAGTACTATGAAAGGTTACTAATTTCCAAAGACAAATAAAAGAACAATATAACACGTAATTAAGATGATAAACAACGTCAGTACCTAAAATGCAATCATTCATTCGAATTATCAAAAATTTGTAAAAATTTTAAATCCTATAAATCTGCATTTTTACCAAAAAAAGAGACAAGTTGGCAACTTGACTCCGTAGCTTTTTCCAAGCGTTAAATGTGATCAACAGTAAGTGATTATTTAGTGTACATTTAATACCTTTTGTAAAAATAAATATACCATATGACAAGGTAATAATATTTTAATGGAAAACATTGATCAAAAATCCTGAACTATTTTGGCCATAATGAATGATGATTATGGATGACTGTTTAACTGCTTTGTACAAGACCTACACGCTTAGCCGAATTTTCAACGTGATATTTCACAAGGTAACATTCTGCAGGAAGACATGTTTCCCTACCCGGACACATTGTTCTGACTCCGTTCCGTTGCTCTTACTCCTAAACGCTGCCTGTTTTAATTTGGGCACCACTTACGAATCTTTTGTAGACAAACAGATTGTCGGGCGTAACAAATTGTAAGCATAATATCTTTGATGAGTTTTATTTTCCTAATGATTTTTAAAGTAAATCAAGTTACGTAGTGAAGCACAAACGCACTTAAATATGTATGTATGCCGGTTGCACTCTTTCCTTCAAAAACCGGGTGAACAGTATTTAATAAATTTGGAATACTGAAAAGAAACAATAAGAGGCAACCATTGTAAACTGATGCTAAAATCTCATAAATGATCCTACTATTATTTTGTCATCTGAAAAATACATTTTGAAAAATGTATGTGCGAAAATATAAATTAAGTCTGATTTCATAAACTATGAAACCTATTTATATTAAAGATCTAACATAATTATTTGAATTCATAGGTATTAAATCATATTAATCTTAAACATGTATTAACACGTATTTGCCGAAAGAAAGACCTTCATATAGATTGATTTGTATTCATGTGAAAAATGTCCATGTCATATTTCTGTGTAAAAAAACAAATTAAGTCTAATTTCATAATATGAAACCTATTCATATTAAAGATCTAACTTTAATTATTTTAATTCATAGGTATTAATTTACTGTTAATCATAAACACGCATTAACACGTATTTGCAGAAAGAAAGACCTTCATACAGATTGATTTGTATTCATGTTATTGTACAGTGCATTTTTAAAGTCAGTGAAGGTATGAATTTAAAGTAAGGTAAAGGTAGAACGTCTTTACTAATAGAAGAGGTAGAAAACTAATAATAGTGTTACAGCATTTTCAAGTGAGTGTTATATCAAGTTTCATTATTATTCATTTCAATTGGACGTCGTAGTTTAAGGTGGTACCCAACACCTTGACTAATATTAATTTGGCTCGTTTAATTTTCATAAAATTTTGACAAAATGTTTACTTTGACCCTTTGACAAAAATATAAAAATTTCAAAAAATTTGAACCAACCACTTTATCAGAAAAATTTCTTTGGTTATATAGCAATTTGACAAACACTAATTTTGATCATTGAGAAGCTTAATATTTCCTTAACAATACAACGTAATTAAAACGTTTAGCTGATTTTTACAGAGTTATCTCCCTGTAGTTTTAGGTACCACATTAAATAACGATTGTTAAGAATTAAGACCTGAAGTTACATTGTTCATTCTTTTTATCATTAAAAAAATTAAATGAATGATTCATGACATTTAATTTGAATGAAATTTAATCTGAGCGTCACTGATGAGTCTTATGTAGACGAAACGTGCGTCAGGCGTATTAAATTATAACTCTGGTACCTTTGATAACTATTAATTGTATTGTCATTCATGATTCAGTGACGAATATGATATTGGTAACCATTGTAAATATTTGTTGTAGTGAGGGAGATTTTATTAAAAACACCGCATTATCATAAAACCTTAATTTGACTTTTAATAACCGTTTTTTTTTTTTCTTTTTTTTTCTGAATAATATCAACATTTATAATTGACTATTCATGAATAATGGTTATGCAATACTTACAACTTTGTATAACGGCAATAATAAAATGTCAGAACCATAAGCCACATGTATACAGTTCTGGTTGCGGTAAACTTTTATTTTTCCGCTATATATCGTTCTCATTACATCAAACAACATTTCGCATTATACCAAACGCCTTTCACCATTATCTCATATATTTTGTGAATGAAACTTTAATATAATTTATATACGATGTAGTAAAATTAGAACCAATAATGTTGTTATGGGGAATTTAACAGCATGTAACTTGTTTAAGGGTTGTAAGTGATCACTTAACTAAACTGACATCCATGAGAAGATAATATATGCAGTAATATACAGCCTTAGCAGACTTCGGTATCAAATAATAACATTTTGTTATTATAAAACTAATGGTAAGGGATACATTCGTCGGTGAATATTTGATACGAAGATGTGGTACAATTACCAAGGAGACAACTCATCAGAAATCAAATGAAATAGAAGTTAACTACTAGGGGTCACCGTACGCCTTCAACAATGAGCAAAACCCAAACATCATAGTAAGCTATAAAAGATAAAGAAATAATAAATGTAAAACAGTTCAAACTAGAAAACTAACGGCCTGATTAATGTAGAAAACGATAAACTAAAAACAAATATGATATACAGTAACAAACGACAATAATTGAGTTACAGGCTCCTGACTTGGAATAGGCACATATCCTCTTGGACTCTGTATAGTTTTGGAAAATCCATTAAACACTTCAGTTCAAAACTAAAAGACTTTACCTCATTCGAAAGGGTTTCAGCTGCTACCCAGTTAACATATTAAACACTTCTTATCAAATTGCCAGAAAATATAAAGTAAATCAAGAGAATTATTTAAAGGTAGGAAAACAATACTGAAAGACTTCTTAAATTTGATGATACATGAATAAATGAAACTAACCTGATAGAATTTATACTTATATATAAGGAAAACGGGGAAGAGTCACAAATGAAAAGACTTAAACTCTGGTAGTAGTAAAATCTACAGAATTACATTTCCTTTTTTATTGTAAAAAACATCAAGAATCTTATATCTGTTCTATAAATAGTAAAATAAATAAAACCATTCATTTTCTCTGAATTAATTGAAACATTATAATACATGGGTATGGGTTTACTACATGGTCTGTGTTTTGTTTCATTTCAATGATTGTTAATTGCAATTAAAACTTTCCCTGATTAATAAATTGTTTAGCTGAAATTTGGTCCATGAAGATGTCAACATTCTACATATACAGCAATACACAAGAGACTTACACTATTGGCTTAATTTTACCTTTCACCTTTCCTATCAGTTGTCTACTATATTGACATAATATAACACTGTAAAAATTATCCAAGGAAAGTAGATTGTTGATCTGAAAAATACTGCATTTATTTACTGATAAAAGTTAAATATTAACTTAAGAAGAAAAGAAATAAAAACTTTTAAAAATTTCACTTAATTTTTATAGAAAATCTTGTAAGAAAAGAAAGAAAACACACAATCATTTTTTTAAATTTAATTCAACAAATGATTTTTTTATATTTTCATTTTTTATTGTGACTATTTCCTGTTCCCCTTTTCTGTCAGTCAGTGGGAAAGCCAGTGACATTGAAGAGTTCTTTCCGGTGGTCACGCGGGAAAGGGGACATAATCTAAAAATTTCGAGGTGGCGCTGTAATCAGCGTGTAAACAAAAACGTAGCATATGATTCGGACAATAAATTTATCAAACCGACTTATCATCCAACAGTGTTTGCGGTTTAATCTTCTTCAGAATAGATTTTGTCACACAACTGCCAAAATTATATTAAAATAAGTGCTTCATTATTGAAATATGATAAATCAAAAGACTGTACCTCCGTTGGTTTCCAAAAAAACGCGGGTAATACCCCCGTCTGAAAATAACTGACACAATTGCATCCTAAAGCTTTTTATTGGTTGAGATATAAATAAATGTGACCCAGAAACACATGGACACATGACTATGTAAAGAATTCCCCGTCACTTCGAGTCTTGTTTACATAATAAATAGCTCAACCGGAGGTCATAATTCAACATTTTTCTAACGTTTTTGGCGTTATTTCATTGCAAAATGGAGCAAATGATGTCAATTTTACCAGTTTTTAACCACGAAATTGATTCAGACAATGAAGTGTGATGATGTTTCCTGGATTTTTAATATGTTTTACATAAAAATGTTGATAGGTTGAAGGCTTTATATACTCCGTCATTTGTTGATTTTTGTTCATGTTGCTCAGACTCCTTGTTTCAATAATTTTCTGCATTTATTTAATTATGCTGCAGTGTATAACAGATTTATGTAGTACATTGAAACTGGTTTATTCTATGAATGAATTTGTCCATATAGATGACTTCAGTTGTCAGGAACCCCATCCCCCTTTTCCCCACTTTCAAGAAATTTCAGTTGGGCAAAAAATATTGTCTGAATGAAAAGCTTGTTTAAATGCAAAGTGTAAACACTCAGCTAATGTCTGTTTTAATCCATTTTTTTTAAGTCTAATGATTACAGTCATTCTTTGTTTCTGTAAATATTTACCTGAAATGTGTCAACTTGTCAATTTTAAAAATATTAAAAGTATCAATCAACAAATATTGCCTGCCTGCCACTGTGACATGAAAATCTGATGAGTCAATAATTTTCCCTTGATTTGTAGTCTTTGTTCTTATTGTATAAATAAAACTACTATGCAAGTGGGAAGTTAACACACAAACATTTGTATTTTGCCTGTCCTTATCAAGGAACCTGTTGTACACTAACCATTCATGTTTAAGTGTGTCTGGGCCCTGGTAACAAATATTTGTCATTGTGTTTTCAAAGTGTGTGCATGTTCTAAAGAATTGTTTTGAAAAAGTTTAGTGGCCATTCATCAAATTTGTTTTTCTTCCATATATATATAGTAGCTTTATTTATTTCATCATTAGTTCTGGATTTAGAATTTTTATCACATGCTGTTTTATAAGGTCCTTTATACTTGACAAATTGATTTGCAAATTGTTGAAGGCTAAAACTGTTACCTATAATTATCATCCTCTATCAATTGTCAATCATGTCAATATGGGTTTCTTTTAAAAACAACTTTTCCCAAGGAAAAACTAAAGTTGAAAAAAAAAGTTCAACCCAGATATGCTGCTGCTGAAGAAATTAACATTAACAATGGTATTTTTCAAATATAGCATTCATTAATTACACTATTCCTTCATTGAAAATGAAAAAATAATATTTTAAATTGAATGCATCCAAGGGCTTTCCTGGAATAACCTTCAACAGGTATGCTCAATGCTTAGTACATACAAGTCTTAATACAAGTGAGAGCTATATGACCATTAAGAGCATTACAAAAAGCTATATCGCTTCTGAGGTCTACTTTGAAGATGGCATATGAATGTCTCACTCTGATTTTGGTGATCCTATTTTGTTGCGTTGATATTAATTTTTCGACCCACAACTTTTATTTCACACTAATCTTTTTCGAGGTCTATCATGATGGAAATTTTAGGTACTGTAAATTCAGAAAGGATAGCAAAGTTTTTATTACTGCAATAATGTGAGTGGGTGAGTATCTAAATAATAAATTGCATTCTGATACCTTTTAATCTGATTAAAATGCAAATCCTGTGTCCAAGCTTATTACAAGAAAACAAAGCTTGGACACAGGATCTATACTTAAATCAGATACATATATACCATTCCTATATCTGTGTGCTGATTTTTCTACAAAAGCAATACTTTTTACACATTTTATTCCATTCTTCAAATTTGCACAAAATAAAGCACACAATAATTTGCAAAATCATGTGATTACATATAGGAAAAGGGCACCTAGGCACCTAGGCATCTCATTCTAAATACTACACATGGAACAGGATCTGCTTACTCTTCCAGAGCACCTGAGATCATCTGTATTTTGTGGGTTCAAGTTGCTCAGTTTTCATTTTTCTAATTTGTATATTAGTTTAAACTTTTCATCAAATAGTCTGAAAACAGAGATATGTATCTGCTGAAAATGATTTATTAAGGTGCAGGGGTCACCACACTTCAAAATCTCCCTGAAAGCATATAACAGTGAAAAATCAGTCATGAGAGGCCACTAGAGAGACATCAAGGATACCTCTGGGAGAAGTGAACGATTCTAAAACCACTCCGTTTAAGTCCTTCACACCTAATAAATCATTAAAGTAGACCTTTTACATCTTTGATATTTTTTTATGTCTCAAATACTACAGTACATACATGTATATGGCTAATGTGCTTGCTTTGCATCTATGAATGTTTTATTGTATTGCAGCAGCAGCATTGTCTCATGTACATCTACCCCATGTCATCAATATTAAATGATTATGGTGTTTCACTTTGTATATATAAAAATATAAAAATGTTAAGAAAAAAAAAGTTTATTAAAAGATAAATAAATACAAATGCATAAAAATAATATCAAAATGAAACATATGTAAATAATATCTTAAATAATTATAAGTAAATAAGCTTCAATCAAATACAAATTTTAATACAACTTAAATACTTTGAAAGTAAAAAAAAAACACATAACAATAAAGTTTAAAATTTAAGAAGCATAATTATTGTTAAAAAGTCCAAGTTAAAGTAATAACAAGTCAAATAGTCCTCTGTTCCATAAATCCTCAAAATGGAAATGTTTCCTGCTCTTCTTTATTCCTTATTTCTATTGTTACATGTACATGTATCTGTAAATATATAATTTATGCATATGATATTAAATGAAAATAATTTCCCAACTTCTCTAGAGTTGTCATATGAAATTATAGTTTACATTTTAATTGTCTACTGATTCTGATGTGGTCCAAGTTTTAATTTAAATTGAATGTTTCTAATTTCACTAATGTAAAACTAATCAGATGTGAAATAATTGCCAATGAGACAACTATCCCCAAAAAATCAAATAGAGTGGATATAAGCAATTTTATGCTACACTAAAGCCTTCAATCATGAGAAAATCCCATAATGTATTTACTTAAGTTTGTTTTTAGATATTTGTTATTATTTTTTTGAAATTGAAATTATTCTTATTTTAATCTTAAATAATCAAAAGTATGTATATAAGCTTCAATAAAAATAAACAAAAAAATTTAGAATTTTGGTGTAAATAAATAATTTATTTTAATGACTTTATATGATATGTCTGATAAGAAAAGGTCATAATCATATACAGCAACATATGTTCAAAGAAATTTTTCTATTTATTTATTCATTTACTTCAGTATCTTAACATGTTAAAGTTAAATTCATCACTATAATAACATATCAATCTTTTTAATAGATATTAATATATATTTTATGATATTGAATGTAAGTAAACGTTATAATTACAAACAAAATATCAGTATGAGAGCAAAAATATAAAGTAAATGCACAAGCAAGTCTGCATTCAGGTTGAGAATTCAAACTCTCCTTGTGAAAGTTATCTGAACTAGGATTGCTGTAATCAAAGGTCTGTGGTTATCTATGAAGGACGGACAGACAGACGGACGGATGGACAACGGTATACCATAATACCTCTCACAAACGGGCGTATAAAAAGGAGGGTTCTTTTTCCAAATTGTCTTTGCCTAATGAATATTCTATTAGGAATTTCTTTTAAATATTTAGGAAATTTCCTTTTATCATTAAATGACATTTTATCATTATAAATGTGAAAATTACTAAGAATATTCATTTCTAATGAAAATTAATCTTCAAAATGACAACAGATTATGGGTCTATTCTAAATTTAAAAAAAATGGAAAATTAATAAAAAAGAAATCATAGCTTCATATTACATTCTTTAACTGTATCTGAACATGATTAATGAAAAAAAACACTGACTAGATTGTCAAAATCTTATGAAGAATATTTATTTTTATATTTCAAGTAAAGACAGAAAATGTCGAAATGTTGACTTTCTTATCAGATAACCTATGTGTAACATCTGTGGTCAGTTTATTGGGAAGAGTGATATATAAATTACAAGGACTTCAAACTGTGAAGTTAATCAGTTGTGAAATTTGAGATTCCCTCAAATCTGAGGGCATTCTTCGGGCTGTACTATAAAGTATATGAGCAATCAGGCATCCACCCCCAATAAAACCTGGCCACAACACCTTGCCAATACTGTGGCGTTAAAAATCAACAATCAATAACATATAATTTGTGTGTTTTTTTAGCATGGAAGGAGGGGCAGAACTGATACTTTCCTCCTGATTCATATTTCATATACCTGAAATCTGTTCAAAGTATTTTTCATGACCATATATGCATTATTTAACAAAAACATGGTACTGTTGTTCACATAAACAAGGGTCTGGATGGGGTGTCCTCCATTTCTATATTATTAAATCTTTAAGGTCATTTGTCTCTATTCTTTATACGTTTTGCCCAACATTCTCTTTTCTCAATAAATTACCACAACATTATTCTCTATTCCTTATATTTATAGTCAATTTTTCTCCATTCTTTATACTTTTAGCCATAGTCTCTATTCTGTTGTTATTTTTTTTTTGTCACACACTCATTGAACTAACCTTTTTACTATTCGAGAGAATCAAACAAATGGTCACAAATGTTTTACACAACCATAATAATTAAACTAAAATATAAATGTTATCATTGACAGGCCAAAATTAAAGTTTTATTTAAAATTGAAGTCTCACGCTGGGAAAGGGGCGTTTATTTACATGTGGTCTGAGGAAATTTCAGCATCGAAAAAGGGGCAAATATATAGCCATAATTTGGCATAAACCGATCTGATCAATAAAATTTTGTTATGGATATTGTTCATATCTTTCTACTAACCATTAAAAGAATATTACTAGGATTTTGTGAGCACAGAAACCTACTATTCATGTGGATCTGTTGAAAAATGGCGTCGATTTATGTGCTTCCCTTTCGCAGCCTCAATTGCAATTTGACACGGAGTGATGGGTAGTTATGCAAATATTTTGGGACTCCCATCATCAAAGATACTATTTTTGGTCATTTTATATTTAAATAGCCATTAGGATGCAAATGTGTCAGTTATTTTCAGAAGGGGAAAACACCCGCCATATTTTTATCTTCCAAAACAACAACGTCACTTGCCATTTTCAGATGTTTGTTTCTTGTAAAATAAAACCTCCTAAGAAGAAAAAATAGCATGGTCACCTGTTAAACTTACCTATATAACTAATTGATGATGAAATGATGCAAGTTTAAATGTCTTTAATAATAAATTTCTTGAAAAATCAAACGTACACGATGTAAAAAAATTACCGAGATACTGTCGCCGTCTATGTAAAAATCGCGATTTTCGCCCTTGAATTCTTGTCCGTTACGTCATATGGAAGGAGGCGCAGAACTGACGTGTGGCTTTCCCACTGAGTAGTTTTCCTGGAATCAAATATTAACCCAACATTTCGAAGTTTACGATCTAGACACTATTATTTTTTAATATTGACATATCTAGCTATTTCAAAATTGTTCAACAAGATGTTCATGTATATACATTTTGTACATATCATTTATATTTAGTAATTATTAATAATTGCACAAATTCTCAATTTCTGTCAAAACACACACAAAATTTACCTTGGATACAATATTACTTGAAACTATTTAAGTTTGCCACAAAAATGCAATAACCAGTTCCCTTGACTGGTGATTTAATTTTTAGTAATACCTTTTGTATTGATCAAACCACAGGTGGTATGATAAAGGACAAAAAGGCCATAATCACAGGTATTACTGTAACATATGTGAATATATACCAACTTTGTTTTAAAGACAACTGGATATTGGCTGTAAAAATCGGATCTTGTATTGCTTATGTGCTTATATAAAAAATAAGTAGATGTGGTATGACTGCCAATGAGAGAACTATCAATCAGACTTCAAATGAAGTGGATATAAGTAATTAAAGCTTACCGTACGGTCATTAATAATGAGAAAACCCCATACCGTATTGTATGCTATAAACACCACGACATGAAAAATGTGAAACTATTAAAACGAGAAAATTAAGACATAATGTATATAGGCTGGAGAATGAATACTCCCCGAGGCCATCACCAGCCTAGAAGTTAGCACTTCTGTGTTGACACGAATTATCATTGATATGGTCATAATTATTAATTATCTGCGTACAGAACTTTGAATTTTTCGAAATACTAAGGATTGTCTACCCAAGGAAAAGATGAGCTTAGCTGTATTTTGCAAAACCTTTCGTAATTGTTGGCTCTCTATGCTCTCCAACTTTGAAATTTATTTGGCCTTTTTAAATTTTTTTATTAGAGCGTCACTGATGAGTTTTTGGTAGACGAAAAGCGCGCCTGGTGAACCAAATGTTAAGCCTGGTATAATTGATGAGTTTAAATATTACACAATAAAAACTACGTTGTTTTCACAAATAGCTTTATGACAAACTTTTTAAATTGATAATTTGGTTCCAGCTTCCACTCCTACAATAATTGTAGATAAAGACGAGTTTAATCTAAATTATGGATCAAAACTTGTAATTGACACAACAATATCGACAAGCTCAACAGTTCATAAAGTTTACTGGATACGGAACTCAAGTGGAGTCATAACAACATTGGATCATGGTTTGTCTGGGACAGATGGTATAACTGTTGATAACCCCGCGTTGACTCTTTCAAAGGTTACGGACATTGATAATGGATTATACACATGTATTGCGGAAAATGACGAAGGAATTGGGTTCAGCAAGATTATCAACGTGACTGTAAATGGTGGTACGTTTTTGTGTTCTTGTATTTCAGAGGTGAATCAAGTGAAATGTGAATGTAGGTAAACCTTTTCCGAAGCAAATTTTAAAGTTATCATTTTATACTGAATGATGTTTTACATAAATAGGTAGTAAGGTGTTCAGCAAAAAAGAAACTATCTCATTTGACGAGGTACAATAGCACAACTATGAAAAAATTTCTCTATTATGTAATTTGTTTTCATGTTTTTAACTGCTTTTAAGAATATGTTGGATTGAAAACGTATGGGCACAACACAATAAGATGTATCCATTTTATTCAAATAGGTGCATGTTACGAGGTAATTATGATGTCATAACTTTCTTAATCTTGTCATTTGCATTTTTACGGAACATTGATTATTTTTGCGTCGATTTTTGTTCGCAGTTTTGGATTTGATTGGGGCAGCACAATTTTCATTATTCGTGATTTTTGGCCTTGAACACTGCACTAAAATGAATTTACAATGAAACGTTAGCATATGGTGATTATCATTGTAAAATGTCTACCACGGAAAAAGCGATAATTAGACAAACACCAAAAAAAATCCGATATATAGTATTTCGTCATATTATGCATATCCCTACATCATTACTAAACAACAAGGTTCACTTTTATCAGATGTTTAATGAAATATAGCATTAAATTTTGATTTTATCATAAAGTACTAAAAAAGTCCCAATTTTGTTTTCCAATGGATTTATTTCAAACGCCTCATTGCAAGATAACACAAAGTTTGTCATAAGAGTATATCATGTCCCTTAAAGTCAGCACATTATGAAGATATTGTTAAAAAATGTTTTTGTACATTTTTCGGGCCGAAAAGCTTTCTGAAAATCTTTGCCGCCACCTGCAAGGTTGATATTAAATCTTTCTTCACATTTTCTGGTAAGAGGCTTCCGGCATCAATCAATTATGCTAAAACTGCTCTACATTATGAAAAATATTGACCGAAACTGACGCTGCAACACTAATAATGCTCTATGACTACATTAACTTATTTGAAATAAAGATAAAAACACAAAACAATTGATGAATATCATCATTTATTTGAAATCAAATCCTTATTCTTTGACCTAAACAATATAGTTTGTCTGCAAATTTCATACTATAAATTAGATAGTAAGGACGTCAATAACACAAATTTGAGAACAACTTCGATAACATTTGTGTTTTCAATCATCAAAGGTCATATTGTTTTATTTAGATCATAAACCTGTTCCCAAACGTTGTTACTACTATAAAGTTGAGTCATTATTTTTATCCGAATTTCTGAAATCTGATGTCTGTCTCCTATCTCGCTTTAGATTTTTTTCCAGTAAACGCAACATTTGAGACGTTTGAGACAAAATATAGTTTTAAGAACATAAAAATAAACGAAACTCGGTCTGAATAGAAATGTTTGCTTATAAGATAGCTCAAAACATAGACAATCTGCAGGTATAAGCGGGTCAAAAGTTTTAAGTATTGTTAATATCCATTGAACCTGCTTAAAAAAACAAAATTCTAAAATTTTCTTTTAGAGCACTTTAAACTTATAGTCGTATACATTAAAATACAACAACAAAATTATCACATAAATTCATTTATTTAATCTTTTCAGTGGATTTCATAGTAGGGTTTGTGTTGCTCATTCTTTTTAAATAGTTTTCTTTGTAATGTTTTGTTACTGTTGTTTGTAATTTTGTCCTTATTCGGATTTTTCTATGGCGTTGCCAGTTGTATTCCAATTATGAGTTTGAATGCTCCTTTGGTATTTTCCACTTTTTTAGATAAATTCCGATGTTGCCTTAGTACAGTTCCAATATTCCTTTAGTACGTTTTCCATTTATATCTGTATTTAGACGGAATGGGATAATGCAAGGAATTATATTATAATTATTATTGCTATTATTATCATTTTTATCATTATCAGTATTATTATTATTATTATTAATATTAATACTTTTTTTAATTATTATTATTATTATTATTATTATTATCATTTTTATTATTATTATAATTATTATTATTATTATTATTATTATTATTATTATTATTATTGTAGGAGCTCCATATGTCGAAGTGGTCAAAACAAGTTACTCGGTGTTGTATGGAGATCATGTAGCGCTGAAATGCCAAATCTCATCTGTTCTTCGATTGATTTTTGTGGCATGGCAAAAGGAAAACAATGGCGTTCTAACAGCTTTGAATTCTGGGGCAGTAGGAACAAAAGGAATACGTAAATCTGACCCGTCACTAATTATTCCTACTACAAGTTTCTATGACTCGGGTAACTACACCTGCTTTGGATGTAATAGTGCAGGTATAGGAAAGAGCAATCCCATTTCCTTAAGGATTTATGGTGGCAAGTACATTTTAAAAATTTACAGTAACTCACCGTTTGATGCTTTTGTAAGTGAAAAGGACATATATTGCTGTTGTAACCAAGGATACACTGTAACATATAATATTTCTAAAGTTCGTGAATTTCCAAAGGGTTTGACTAATAATGTTTGATTTATTATCAAAATCCTTCAATTCTAGGTCCTCAATTTCTTTTCAACTATGTGTAACTTCATCTTTGACGGTAATGTGTTTACAATCGTTGGGTCGTTATGATGATGCTTGACAATAAGTCGCTATTGACACATTTCAACCAAGTTTCTGAGGTGTTTTTGTTCCTTTAACCTTCCCTCGATTCGTTGTGCTGCACATAGACTAGTCTGGATCGAAAAGACACTTTACCAACAATAATTATTACTATAAGAATAAGAAGGTGATAGAGTTGCCAACTAAAAAAATCTTCACCACAGACCAAATGACGTAGTAAGGCATGAAAGTCTGATTGTTGCTATTAATTCGAAATACGTTTTTCTCAAATTGCAAGAGTTTTAGATAACTTAAATATCTATACGGTAAAACATGTAGAATACTATAAGCGCTAACTACTGATGGTATATTGAATTGGTATCGAGAACTTATCTACCATATGCATGGATATCGACTAATTGAAGCTGTAAGTCAAGGTAAAACAAAACAAGTTTGTTCCGTTTACACTCTGATTAATATTTGACGAAATTGATCACGGGGTAAGTTCATCAAAGATACAAGGGTAATGATTTCTTACGCTGGACGCACGTCTCGTCTGAATAAAACTTACCAGTACCGATCGAATAACAAAGTTGGAAAGCCCAATCAAATACGTAGTTGGAAAGGAAACGCAAAATATTATGCGATATACGGTCTTTGTACGGAGGTAGAAGAACCATAGCGCTTCGCTAAATGCATAGCCAAAATGTTCTTTATAAAAAATGTACAGAAATCACCATATCAACTATATTTAATGTCAACGCAATGTATATGAGTAGTTTTGTATAGTTACACAGACTTTAATGAAATCTCCGATTACGTTTTAGCCTTGGAATTTTCTTTGATCTCTCTATCTTTTCTATTCATGGGATTGAAATTGTTTTTGAGAATCATTATTTTGATAATTTATTATGCTTTGTAGAAGTTCCTTCTGTTTATACATCAACCATGAGTTATAATGTAGAATACGGAGGTGAAGTGACACTCCAATGTTCTGTCATTTCACGTGTATCATTACAATATATATACTGGGAAAAGTCTTCAAATGGAATAATAAAAGCAATTAACCAACGAGATAGGGGAACCAGAGGAGTTTCGGTATGAAACCCCTCTCTGACTATACTAAAAATCACAATGGCTGACATCGGCGAGTATACGTGCATTGCCAGTAATGCAGTTGGCACTGTCAGAAGTGATAAGATAAGTTTGACAATTAAAGGAGGTTAGTTTTAATTATTTTCATAACAAAATAAAAGATAAAAGAAAGATATTTCCAATTTACTCAATAACACGAAACTAGTTGTTTTTAATGTTATTATGAAAAATGTACAGACTGTCAGGTTATAGGAATACAATCATCTTAATGCATTAATTGATCGACATAATATTTATGAACATCAGCTGTTTATTTTATTACAAACAAACAAACAAACAAATATACACACGAAAAAAAATATATTTCTCAATTTTATTTTTTACAGAGTTTGTCTTTAGTGCCGTGTGGAGACAGTAGAGTGCCTCCCCGTGCTTCAGGTTTATGCTCTTATCATATACTAGATTATGGAGTGTGTGTCCGAGCGAGAACTTCTCTAGTTCATTACTTTAGGGATATTTATCAAAAAGTAGTATTTCAATATTCAGCCCCATTCTACTATTTAGTCAGACGTCTGTCGCTACCCTGCTATAACCTTTTTTTCCGGGTAATTAATACGGATAGCGTTTGACATCTTTAGCCGAACAGATTTATCATTTTTACATAATTTAATTCATTGTATGCTGGTTCATATTCTGGACGCCAGTCTTTATATATCTCAACTTGTACGATTGGCTCGTGTATGTAACAACGTATTAGATTTTAGCGAGCGAAATTTATATATTACTGAAAAATTATTACACCAGGGTTTTCGATATCATAAACTAGTCAAAACATTTACTAAATTTTATCATCGGTATACGGACATCATTCGTAAATATAACTCAACATGCAGACATCTTATACGTTCGGGTATTTCACATCCAATCTTTTATGGTAATATTCTTTACAAAGCACAAAAATGTCAGTATTCACCTCAAAAGCTAACAAAACCTTTAAACAGACTTATTAAGAAGGGATATAGTTACGATACTGTTGTCAGGTCATTAAAAATTGCATATTTTGGCTTTAAAATTGATTCACTTATAGGGTCTTTGCATCGGAATTAAACATATTTATTCTAAAACCAGTTGTTGGCATGACACGGGTTATGTTCTTCTCGTATATTTTATGACGGTATAATACTAAACCCCTAACAGGAGGGATTGTGCCTGATATTCATATGATGAAGACATAATCTTTCAATCAGTTTAATTGAGGTCTGGAGCTGGCATGTCAGTAACTGCTAGTAGTCTGTTGTTATTTATGTATTATTGTCATTTTGTTTATTTTCTTTTGTTTCCTATTCTGACATCGGACTCGGACTTCTCTTAAACTGAGTTTTACTGTGCGTACTGTTGTACGTTTGTTTTTCTCTACATTGGCTAGAGGTATAGGGGGGGGGGGTTGAGATCTCAAAAAACATGTTTAACCCCGCCGCATTTTTGCGCCTGTCCCAAGTCAGGAGCCTCTGGGCTTTGTGTATCATTTTAAATTTTAGTTTCTTGTGTATAATTTGGAGTTTAGTATGACGTCCATTATCACTGAACTAGATATATATTTGTTTAGGGGCCACCTGAAGGACGCCTCCGGGTGCGGGAGTTTCTCGCTGCATTGAAGACCCATTGGTGGCCTTCGGCTGTTGTCTGCTCTATGGTCGGGTTGTTGTCTCTTTGACACATTCCCCATTTCCATTCTCAATTTTATTTGCTCCTTTCTAATATAATTCACAAACAAAAAACAAATATGAAGCTTAGAAATGGAAAAATATTAAATACTAAACTCGTTCAAAGGGTATCTACACGTCTCAATCTTCAAAATCGCTTATCTAAAAATACTACCATCGCTAACATTTTTACCAATAAAAATCGTGGTTACCCTTCTATCGATAAGTGTCATGCCAAAAAATGACTTACATGTCCCCGTCTTTCCACCAACAATACGGTAAGGTCCACGTTAAATGGTCGCACATTTTCTTTAAATTTTGAAACTGATATAACTTGAAAAACAAACAGTATTATTTATTTACTCACATGAAACAAACCGGGATGCGGTATTCGGTACGTAAGTGAAACTGGACGATATTTATCTAAACGCACTCAAGAACATCGGTATCGTTTTAAAGACCCAATAAATTCACAAGTATCATTTATCAACACCTTAAGAAGCACAATCATCCTATTAAATATTTAGCAGTTCAACCTTTAGAAGTAGTAAATAAGCAGCCTGGTGAATCTCATTCAAAGTTTGTACGATCACGGAAAATAATTGAATTAAATTGGATTAAAAAATTACAGACAGTCTACCCTCTCGGTCTTAATGATAATATCATGGGAATTGGTAATATATCAAGAACCGATTATGTTAACATTTTGGATATAGTTTCTAAAACTGTTCGTAAAAACCGTTCTCATGGTCGTAGGAAAAATCCCAATCAAATAAAATTTCGGACTAATCATACCAATATTTCGGACATAACTTCTATTTCAAAAAACAACGGCAGACATTATCTGTTAACAAAGCTCTGTTCATTACCGGTTAATAAGTTAAATAAAATTTTAGAGGATTGCAACACAATTTCATATAGCAGTCCTAAGTATGAAATCGTTCAAATTATAATGGCATATTGTTATTCTAAACTGTTTCCCAAAATTGATCGCCCTGAAGATCATATAAAACAGTTTATTAAAATAAAGTATGTCAATAAAGGTTTTGATTTTGTAAATATTGCCGGTATTTTTAACGACCATTCTGTTAAAGAACAAATTCCGGGATATATATTTTGATAATACTGAGCTCCCTCTTATTTGTTATATTTACAAGAAATCTACCCGGAAATTTGTGTTTAATTATAGCCAATTGTGTAAAGATGTTAATATCAGTGAAAATACACCTACTTCATGTAATTGCAGTAATTCCGAATACATTTATGGACCCATTTCCCATGTTATAACAGGAGATCTTAACATCGTTCAAGACCGAGAGTTAAAATCATTCCTCAGTAAAGGACCTAAATATCGTCCCCCGTCAATTATTAATTGGAATGAGTGTCGTAATATCATCCACGACTCACTCCATACTTACTGTTTGAAATGGATAAAACGGGAAAAAGCTGACAAAAAATCTTTGGACTCTTTTTTTAATTCAGTAATGAACATAGTTGATATACGTATTCAACATTTTAAAGAACATTTTACTCTTAACAATAACCACAATAAACCTATTTCTAGTATCAAACATAAGCTAAAAGAACTAGCCAAGGAATTTGTTTTTGTCCCGGCCGATAAAGCTGCTAATAATATTATTATTGTTTGACGTAAATTTTACATTGAGGTTCTGAAAAAAGAAATCACCAATTCACCAACATTCCAACTGACTCCATTTTCAGAAAACGACATCTGTAACAAACATAAACTTTTAGCTACCGCTTTACAAGCAGAACCAAATACAATGAAAGTCCCAACTATGTATTGGCTTCCGAAGCTACACAAAACACCTTACAAATATAGATTCATTTCGTCTTGAAGCCATTGTTCCACTACTAAATTGTCTATTCTTCTTACCAGTACACTTGGTACAATCAAAAACCTTATAATAAATTGTTCAAATAAGGCCTTCGAAAATAGTGGAATTAATTACTTTTGGAGTGTCAAGAACTCGTTGGAAGTACTTGATAAATTACATGCATATATTGGTGATTTTGAATCTGTTCAAAGTTTTGATTTTTCTACCCTATATACCACATTGCCTCACATTCTCATTAAGAAAAATTCACACACCTAATTAAATGGGCATTTAAAAAGTCAGAATGTGAATATATATGTTCAAACTCTTTTAGGTCATTTTTTAGTAGCAATAAACAAAAAAACTATGTCAATTGGACATGCTTTGATACTCTATATGCCCTTGAATTTTTACTAGATAACATTTTTGTTTTTTTTGGAGATTCCGTATATCGTCAGGTTATCGGAATTCCAATGGGGACTAACTGTGCACCACTTATTGCGGACCTTTTTTTTATTGCTATAAGTTACAATTTATGACAAAAATCAGCAAAGACCCATCGAAACAACATCTGATACACAAATTTAATAATACTTTTAGATATTTGGATGATATTTTGGCTCTCAATAATGACGACTTCAGTATGTATACTAAAGAAATTTATCCTGTTGAAGTTACTTTAAATAAAGCTAATACTAACAATGACCACTGCCATTTCCTCGATCTTGATATCTATATCATTAACGGAAAGCTTAATACTAAAATATATGATAAAAGAGATGATTTTTCATTTCCTATCGTTAATTATCCATTTTTAGATGGTGACGTTCCCTTGTCACCATCTTACGGTGTTTATATATCTCAACTTGTACGATTCGCTCGTGTATGTAACAATGTTTTAGATTTTAAAGAGAGAAATTTGTGTATTACTGAAAAATTATTACATCAGGGTTTTCGATATCACAAACTAGTCAAAACATTTACTAAATTTTATCATCGGTATAAGGACATCATTCGTAAATATAGCTCAACATGCAGACTTCTTATACGTTCAGGTATTTCACATCCAATTTTTTATGGAAATATTCTTTATAAAGCACAAAAATGTCAGTATTCACCTCTGAAGCTAACAAAACCTTTAAATAGACTTATTAAGAAGGGATATAGTTACGATACTGTTGTCAGGTCATTAAAGATTGCATATTTTGGCGTTAATATTGATTCACTTATAGGGTCTTTGCATCGGCACTAAACACATTTATTTAAAAACCAGTTGTTGGCATGACACGGGTTATGTTCTTCTCATATATGTTATGATGGTATGATACTAAACCCCTAACGGGAAGGATTGTGCCTGATATTCATATGATGAAGACATAATCTTTCAATCAGTTTAATTGAAGTCTGGAGCTGGCATGTCAGTTAACTGCTAGTAGTCTGTTGTTATTTATGTATTATTGTCATTTTGTTTATTTTCTTTGGTTACATCTTCTGACATCAGACTCGGACTTCTCTTGAACTGAATTTTAATGTGCGTATTGTTATGCGTTTACTTTTCTACATTGGCTAGAGGTATAGGGGGAGGGTTGAGATCTCATAAACATGTTTAACCCCGCCGCATTTTTGCGCCTGTCCCAAGTCAGGAGCCTCTAGCCTTTGTTAGTCTTGTATTATTTTTAATTTTAGTTTCTTGTGTACAATTTGGAGTTTAGTATGGCGTTTATTATCACTGAACTAGTATATATATTTGTTTAGGGGCCAGCTGAAGGACGCCTCCGGGTGCGGGAATTTCTCGCTGCATTGAAGACCTGTTGGTGACCTTCTGCTGTTGTCTGTTCTATGGTCGGGTTGTTGTCTCTTTGACACATTCCCCATTTCCATTCTCAATTATATATATATATATATATATATATATATATATATATATATGATAGACATGTTAACAGCAAGTTTAAAAGCAACAGCAGTTACCGATATTTGAATCCAGATAATTCCATTTTGAATATACAAATCAAGACAGGTAAAAACCGTATTCGTCGAATAATAAGCATCTCGGACTATGCTAGCATCATCCATAAGGTGAATCTAAACTCAGTCATAATGTCCCAATAGGGAATAGGACACAATTGGAAAATTTACAGATTAAATTAATTTTGGTATTTAAAGAAGAAACAGTGCAAACAAAATTACCTTTGAGGTAAGAAACAGAGGTGAAAACCGTAAAATTTACGTAGTGTTAATTTTGGTCGCATTTCCTCATAATCCTGCTGAAGCAGAGTATACCCTTATCGATGTTCACATACAATTGAGAATGTAAATGGGGAATTTGTCAAAGAGACAACAACCCAAGCAAACAGCCGAAGGCCACCAATGCGTCCTTAACACAGCAAGAAAATCCCCGAACCTGGAGGCGGGCCTCAGCTGGGCCCAAACAAAAATGTGTACTTGTTCAATGAAAATGTACGTCACAGTAAAGTCCAAATCATATAAATGAACTAAAATTAAAAAATAAACAAGACTAACAAAGGCCAGAGGCTCCTGACTTGGGACAGGCGCAAAAATGCGGCGGGGTTAAACATGTTTCGTGAGATCTCAACCCTCCCCCTATTTCTCTAGTCAATGTAGAGTAAACAAACACCCAGCAATACGCACAGTACAACTCAGTACCAAAGAAGTCCGTGTCCGATGTCAGAATAGGTAACAAAAGAAACTAAACATAACATCTTTGATATGAATTTATGAATAGATAACAGAGGGAATATTACATATAAAAAACATTAAAATATCCTTTTATCAATTAAGAAATTGAGAACTAAGTTAAACAAAATAGGATCCATTTTCATTTATTTGTAGTTATATGTTCTTTGTTAAATTGATGAATTGAAAATTATAAAAACTAATTTTTTTTCAGGTTTGCCACTAGTGACTGTTGGCGCCTTTGTTTATAACGTTGTTTATGGAAATAAAATTACATTACGGTGTTCAGTGAGCAGTGATCCTAAAGCAAATCTAGTATATTGGCAAAAAAAAGTCAACGGAGTTTTATCCACACTGAGTCACAATGCTTTTGGTACAAATGGAATGACTCCAAATAATCCATCACTTACAATAGAATCTGTAGCACTGTATGACTCCGGAGCTTATCTGTGTTTGGCTGTCAATGATGTTGGAACCAGTTCAAGTCAGTGGACAACATTATCAGTCACTGGAGGTGCGGTTGTATCATTTTAGTTTATCTTTAAAAGATTAAATAACAATAAAAACACGATAACGATTACTCTGTGCAAACTGTTTGACCTATCATGTATATGCACATAACACATCAAGACAATTACTGTTCGATTTCTAGTATTAATTTCCGCTACATTGTAATTACCAATTAATCAGAATCATTAGTCATTTAACTTTTTACCATATTTTCATTTTTGTATCCTTTCCCTTTATTATTAAAGTTATTATCTACTCTTTAAGGTAGATAGGGTGTCTTCCTCCATCTTTGATTTTGAAATACCAGAAAACAATCGGTCTAGATCTTTAAGAAAATGTGCAAATTTTGAGAGTAGTAGGTAATTCATGTGTAAGAATTTTCATTTTAATATAGAAAATGACATGTTTTATCATATTTATGGTTGTATTTTACAAAAAGACAGACTACTTTTGTTTCATTCATTTTTTTTGCCACATAAGGGGAGGCAACTCAAATGTAAGGGCAGATAATTCAGATTAAGTTACTTTTACAATAGAATATGTTAGGAATTTACTTATTTTATTATGTAGCAAGAAAACGGGTCCCGTGACCCCATTTTTTCTTTTTCTTATCTGAAAGCATAATATTAGAGCTATCTTCTCATATTTTATCTCAAAATTCTATGGTGTAGTTTTCGTTTTATGGCAGAAAATTGGGTTTTCCATGCATAATCTATACAAAATCTGTCAATTTTGCACAACCTGTAGCGTGAAAATAAGCCCCGTGACCCATTCTTTTTATTATTTTTTTTTAAAAAAGCATGATATAAACTACATTTTGGCAAATTATTAAAAAATTATATGGATTATAATTTAGACACCTCATCTACCTTAAACAACTTACAACTATATTCAGTATTTGATTCCTTTTGGTTTTTAATATGCGCAATGTGTACATAAAACAGGATATATGCTTGACATTGACTTATTATTTGTAGCTTTACCTGTGGTTAAAACAGATTTACCAACTTATTTTGTTGAATATGGAGAGAGTGTAACTTTACCTTGTTCAGTTTTATCTACCCCTGTTTAAACTTATGTATACTGGGAGAAAACTGTCAACGACAGAGATACCTTTATTTATAGTGGAACTCCAGGAACACATGGTATGAGTCTGAGCAGTCCATCTTTAACGATTGATTCCGCTGCCGAATCAGACAATGGGAATTATACATGTATAGCCATTAATTCTTTGGGGATCACAGAAAGCTTGACGATATCGTTAACTGTTCTTGGTGGTATGTTTCATATGTTTTCACTAAATAACAAATTTCAAAACGTTAGATCGTTTCCCTTCTTTCTTCATATATCAAGGAATTGTCAATTCAATTGTTTTGGTGGCAACAAATTTCAACTGATTGAAACAGTGGTGAAATTTCATGGATATTTAATTTTATGGTTCTGTCAAAGTCTGCATACAAACCTATAGAAATTGTTTTCTTCATTGATAATAAAAATTCGTGGCTAACCAATACGAACGAAATCCAAATTTAGCAAAATGAAGAAATATTTAGAAATGTTTTTGATTATATAAACAAGACCAAAAAGTTCCTTGTTTAATCATGTGCATAAGCTGAATGTGATCCACACACACACACTCATGCATATATTTTATTTTTCCTTCTTTCTATCTTTCCGTTTTTCTATACTGTTTCTTAATATGTCATTTAAATTACAGATGTTTGATTATATATTGTGTAATAATAAATTTGATATTTGCATGCTATGAAATTCTATTGTCTAATATTGTATCTTAGGAGAAGACGATCTAAGTTGGACTAACTTGTGTCTAATCCTTTTTGTGATTTTTTTTTTTTGCAAATAAAATATGTTTAAACTGTACGAACGAAATCCACAAAAATTGGTAACCATCAAATAATGATGAATCCACAGTATGTACTTTGAAGATCACTTCTTTTTTAAACAAAACAAATATCCGTCTTTTTTGATAATTTGATATCTCTGTTACATTCTTTCTTATACTTCATAAATTAAAAGCAACGTAATCAGTTGATATGCACGCTGTAGTTACATATATTTGAAATGTTCATCTATATTCAAAACACCCTGATTTTATTTAAGCTATTACTAATATTTGTTTGTAGCTGTTTTTTATTTCCTTGTCGTTCTTTTAAACAACAGTTTTGTTAACAAATAAAATAATAACATTAAACATTAGAAAATTATAACTGAAAAAGTAGACACAATAGGTAAAGTAAATGACAACTTTCGAACCAGCATCAAGGTGTCATCAAATACTCGTCTGCTTATTATCATGATATACCATTGATTCCGTTATTTTCTGTAAATGTATTGTTTATAAAACTATCCATAACGGTTTGTATACCTCTATATAAAGATGGTCTTAGCAAAATTTCTCACAATTTTTTCGAAATATTTGGTTTTCAATTTGCTTCAACGTCGAATCACCAGTATTGAATTTCCAAACTTAACGATATTCATTTTATTTATTATTATGTCAAATGCTTTGGTAAGAGCGTCACTGATATTTCATACGTAGATGAAATTTGTGTATGGCATATTAAATCAAGAACCTTGTTTCGTTTACATATTTTCTAATTTGTTAATTTAAGTAAAAATATTTAATCTCAGAACATGGATCTTTTTTCATCTGCAGAGTCTCCTATAGTGTCTGTAAATAAAGAAAACTATACAGTAAATGCTGGTTCATCTGCACTTCTCCAATGTGATATACAATCAAATATGCCATACAATCACATTTATTGGGAACGAAATATAAATGGAACTACAACAATGCTTCTTCCTGGAATGATAGGTATTAGTGGTGTAACAACGGAAGATCCATTTCTTCGAATTGATGAGGTAGATTTGTCAATGGCAGGAGAATATTCCTGTTACGCTGTAAACAAAGTTGGAACAGGACACAGCTACCCAGTTGTGCTAATTGGTAAATATTGAACTGAAGTAAAAAAAAGGTGTATGTGGTCTTAAGAACGAATGCCATTAAGCATTTATAATAATTGTTTCCACCAGTATCTCAAACAATATAAGAGATGGCTAGATCATGTTTGTCAGTTCGCTCATTCTCCTGATGATGAGAATACATCTTTTTCTTTCTTCCCTGTTCTCACAATATTCAATAAAAATAAATACTATATAATACGTCAAACTTCCAGGAACAATACGTAATATCGATGTAGATACATGTACTTTTAAACATGATAAATGTACATTCAAAAGTGTTTTTGGTATTTTAAGTCGCAGCTGTTGGGTAACATGTTAAGTTGAGAAAATAGTCAAACAAGAGATAATGGTCAGATTAAAACGTTTTAACAGCAACAATGCTCTCTCCTGGAATGGCATTAATGTTTTTTACCCCAGGTATAGATGCCCTTAGACGTATTTGGCTCAACGTTTTGGAATTTTTGGCTCGCAGGAATCATTAACTTCGTAACTTGAATTCTGGCTTACTAGCTTTTGATTCGAGCGCCACTGATGTAACTCGTGAAGACGAAAAGCACATCTAGCGTAACAATCTATAAGTCTGGCATCTTTTGTGAGTTTTTGTATACCTTTGTACTTTATTACTTTGGCTTGTATTTAGCATTCCATTTAGGATGTAATATACTGTAAACCAACTTATTTTCGCGGATACTTTATTTCACGTTTATCCCTTTCTAGTCAACTTCGTGGCGATTAAATATCGCGATTTCAAATTAATTTGATGCAGTTAAATAAGGAAAGATCCAAGTATTACATATTCGTGACGATTTTTCGCGTTATTTTTCTACTAGCGAATGTCGCAAAAATAGATCGCTCGCGAAAATTAGTTGATTTACAGTAACCTAATTGCTGTTGTTTATTTCTATCAGTCAATGTATATTGCTCATAAGTCTATGCGAGACCACACTTTTAAATTAATAAGTTGCCAAATGTTTGAGGACTGTCGTCAGGGATAATTTTTTTCTGTTTTTATTCAGAAGGGGACGATATTGGGCTTAGAATATGATGTGTTCAGTTTCTCTTACCACTGAGTATAATGTTAATAAGAAGATTTAATTGATAAATGTCAATACATTCCTTCCGAATATATATTTCATGACCGCTGCTTCTAAATTAGCCACTGAGGTTGTGAGTTCGAACCCCGCTCGTGCGGGTGCACTCGACTCCAATCTTAATTGACTAGGACTGTCAGTTTTCCTATCGAAGGTCGGTGGTTTTCTCCGGGCACTCCGGCTTCCTCCACCAATAAAAAACTGGCCGCCACGAAATAGCCCAAAAGCGGTGATTGAAAGTGGCGTTAAAACACCAAAAATCAAAATCAAATCTAAATTAGCCATACAATGTGTGTCTTTTTTCATCTATATTTTGCTAAATGGCATGAATTTAACACATTGTTACTGATAAGTGAGAGGTTTAGCTAGCTAAAAAAACAGGTTTAATCCACCATTTTCTACATGAGGAAATGCCTGTACCAAGTCAGGAATATGACAGTTGTTGTCCATTCGTTTGATATGTTTGAGCTTTTGATTTTGCCATTTGATAAAGGACTTTCCGATTTGAATTTTCCTTGGAGGTATTTTTGTTATTTTACTTTTTATAGTAGAGCTATAAAAACACAATATTGTCTACGTTTAAAACATTGAAAGAAAGAGAGTATTCTATTAATATACATTGTACATTGTACATATATATATATAAACAAGTCTAAATTGAAAACAACGTTCAAACCTATGATTGCGTTGGATAAAAACCGCAATTTTTATACGTGTGCATGCAAAACAAATTTCTTGGTAGATGGGTCTAAATACAGCACAAACAACATTTTCCAAAAGACCAAATGAGTGAAAAAGTATATTTTAACAAAACGCATTTGACTAGCAGGTCGAACAACTGATGTTCTTAAACCCTGCTGACTGCCATTGGCGATTGCCAAATAAACGGATCACAAGATATAACAAAACAGATCTTATATATATATGACTTTCAAATTTTAGTAACACCTACTGATAACGCTACTGACAGCCCTGATTATCCAGACGAATCTAACTCAGACAGGATATCAGGTAGGTGTTAATGAATTGTTTGTTTGGGAATTTAATCTCTATTTGTCTTTTTTTTTTCTGTTTCTTTTTCTAAATTCATTCAATTTAGTACTGTTAAATTTTATCATTTCATTATAAAAAAAAAAGTGATATAAGATATCAAGATCGTGCCAAAAAAAAACAAGAAGGACATGCAAAAAATTTGTCCGTTTGCAAAACACTTCACGGAATACTTAAAGATTGTTAATCACGAACCAATCCAAAAACGGACATTGCACGCATGCCCTTACAGAACATACATTTCCAAAATCATTAATCACTAGTGGGTTAAATCCCCTTATACTTATACATGACCGAATATGAAAATTTGAAATTGTTTTTTCTATGTATAAGAAAAACAGGTCTGTTGCCGAAAAATTAAACTTACACTCAAAAAACTATCCGTCATATTGCTCGTGAAAACAGAAATAATAAACTGAAGGCGTAACGTCACATCATGTGATGTCACATATGAGGTCAAATGGACAGTATTGTGGTCCTTTGGAACAGGGACATATCCGTTGTCATCATGACGGCTAATTAAATGATCACATGTGTAAAATTTTCAAAAAGAAACTGCAGCTTTACAATTAAGAAAACTTGGATAAATATCTATTTGTTAGCATTAACCTTCTCTGAAAGGAAGAACTGTTTGAAATATGCAGCATATACAAACAAAATTAATTTTTTGTCAAAACTATAAGTTCTGAAATGACCGTCTGAAATTTAGACGCATGCCAATATATGTTGTATATATTTTCTTATTTTTACATCACAATTTCTTTGTTGCACATTTCCTGTAACAACTCACTAAGTGTACAGCTTTCAACTTAGTATCATTCGGGTTAGTTTATTTAATAGCGAGGTGAAGGACTATAATACCTTTAAGGTTTTTTATTTTTATAGACTGGTGATTTAGTTATAAAACATTGAAATTTCTGATGATTATTTTCCTTACCAAATGTAAAAGTTTGTTTAGATTATAATCAAAATGATATGCTTTGCTTCCTGGTAAGATAATTTGATAAAAAAAAAATTCTTATTGGAACCAACATCAAGAACACAATAATTTCTAAATAGGTTAAAATGCAAATAATGTTCTCCAGCTTGGCCTAGCAATATTCAAGGAAATTTATACACTGTCCAACAGTGCCCTTAAAATCTGGGTTATTACGCTAAAGTGCCCTTTCAGACAACTAGCACCCTTCTGCCCTGAGATTCAATCTGGAACACTTCCTTATCATTATGGTAGTAGTGTGATTCCATTACAAAAATGGATTTAATAAATTATTATATGTTTTATATTTGGTATGATCTAATTTCGTAGGAGCGTTCATATTTGACGTTAGATAATTTATATACAAATGATTTGATTTTCAGTTATACTCAGTGTTACTCTTGGGGTCTGTTTTACAGTATTTATTGCTATAATGATAGTGTGTTTCCGGAAACAACTTCTCAACAAACGTAAGTAACAAATCAATTGACTAAGTTTGAATATATGTTCAGCTTTAATCAACTTTACGGTCTTAATAAATATTACAGAAACTCATTCTCATCAACACATATACCTAAAATTTATATTACTTTTAACGTTAATACTAATTGCTAATTTGCTTAAGAATAAATTATTCAGAACTGCAATATCGAGTATTTTGGTATTGACTATGCAGTATAATTATTACACCTTATATAAGTTTAATTGATATTGTCTTTTTCATGTTTTGATCATGTCAGAGATGAATAATGTTCATATTTCACAATTTCCGCTTTTTGGAGGAGTTCATGTTGCTCAGTCTTTAGTTTTCTGTGTTGTATTTTGTGTACTATTGTTTGTCTTTTGTCTTTGTTTTATTTTGTTATGGCGTTGTCAGTTTATTTTCGACTAATGAGTGTGAATGTCCTTTTGGTCTCTATCACCTTTCTTTCCGAGATATTTTTTCTCTGTATTTGGTGAAACCTATTTGCCTAATTTCCCTCCAAGAAGTTGTTTGATCATTTGTGTTGTATTATTTGCAATCTTAGATCTTATATCTTAATTTACCAGTAAAATAGTCTGATTTGACTGTACCGATTGTGTCTTATTCTCAATTGTGACATGTTGCCTTGGTGAATTTGCATAGCAGATGATGCATGCACAGCAGGAGATTTTTACCCATCATGCCTTGCTACTTTAAGATTTCATGCGATTCCTTTAGTTTATGTTTGTTGACTTGGTTTGTCCCTACTTAGTCTATATGGTTTGTCCTTACCTAGTCTATATGGTTTGTCCCTACCTAGTCTATATGGTTTGTCCCTACTTAGTCTATATGGTTTGTCCCTACTTAGTCTATATGGTTTGTCCCTACTTAGTCTATATGGTTTGTCCTTACCTAGTCTATATGGTTTGTCCCTACCTAGTCTATATGGTTTGTCCCTACTTAGTCTATATGGTTTGTCATTACCTAGTCTATATGGTTTGTCCTTACCTAATCTATATGGTTTGTCCCTACCTAGTCTATATGGTTTGTCCCTATCTAGTCTATATGGTTTGTCCCTACCTAGTCCATATGGTTTGTCCCTATCTAGTCTATATGGTTTGTCCCTACTTAGTCTATATGGTTTGTCCTTACCTAGTCTATATGGTTTGTCCCTACCTAGTCTATATGGTTTGTCCCTACCTAGTCTATATGGTTTGTCCTTACCTAGTCTATATGGTTTGTCCCTACCTAGTCTATATGGTTTGTCCCTATCTAGTCTATATGGTTTGTCCCTACTTAGTCTATATGGTTTGTCCTTACCTAGTCTATATGGTTTGTCCTTACCTAATCTATATGGTTTGTCCCTACCTAGTCTATATGGTTTGTCCCTATCTAGTCTATATGGTTAGTCCCTACCTAGTCTATATGGTTTGTCCCTACTTAGTCTATATGGTTTGTCCCTACCTAATCTATATGGTTTGTCCCTACCTAGTCTATATGGTTTGTCCCTATCTAGTCTATATGGTTAGTCCCAACCTAGTCTATATGGTTTGTCCCTACTTAGTCTATATGGTTTGTCCCTACCTAGTCTATATGGTTTCTCCCTACTTAGTCTATATGGTTTGTCCCTATCTAGTCTGTATGGTTTGTCCCTACCTAGTCTATATGGTTTGTCCCTACTTAGTCTATATGGTTTGTCCCTACTTAGTCTATATGGTTTGTCCCTACCTAGTCTATATGGTTTGTCCCTACCTAGTCTATATGGTTTTTCCCTACTTAGTCTATATGCGAGATATGAACATCGGTAAAATGCTGTTGCCTTAACTTAAATGCGAGTGTTTTGATAGTCATGCATGCTAGGCGATGCAAAAATGGAATTAGATTTCGAATATTTCACATTATCCAGCAGCTATGGAAATTTTACGTTTTCTAGCCTGGTATTACGCCTATAAATTTGTTTATTATACCCATGTTTACTTAACATACCAATACGTCTACGAATATAATGGCAGTGAAAATAAAAAAATAGTAAATGGATATTTTAGATATTCGATTATATATTGATGTCTTCTACCATTTAAGTGTTTAAATATCATCTTCTTAATTGGAATTTAACATGACTAATAGTTTAAAATGAACGCAATACAAGTTTACTCATCTTCCTGAATCATAAACGGAAAACATCGAAATTATTTCAGATTAGATTCCATATGAAATATTGATTAATTGCTGAAATGTTTTTGTTTGTTTTTTAGTTGGACGCAGACACAAATATTCCGTGGAAAAAATTGAAATTGATAGATTGTCACAAAAAACAACTTGAAGAATGGATATAACGAATTTTAAATATAACTTTCATTTTATTTTGAAATGTAGTATGTAAATTGTTTAAGTTTTGGAAAAACTTGCTTCTTTTTCCATGCAACCATGCAAAAATAATTCTTGTTAATTGTACTTTTGTCAGGAGCCTCTAATGCATTGGTTGTCGTTTGTTGATGTGTAACATATTTGTTTTTGGCTGTTTATTATTTTGTACGTAAATTAGGCCGTTAGTTTTCTCATTTGAATTGTTTTACATTTATCATTTCTGGGCCTTTTATATCTGACTATGCGGTATGGGCTTAGCACATTGTTGAAGGCCGTACGGTGACCTATAGTTGTTAATTTCTGTGTCATTTGGTCCCTTGTAGAGAGTAGTCTCAATGGCCATCATACCACATCTTTTTATTTTTATAATCTATATATTTCGATGTCTGACTTATTATATTTTACTGCAGATTTTGACAAATCCATTGTTGGTATGAATCACCGTATAAAACGTCACATGCTGGTGTTGGCATTGTATGACACGGGGTTGCGGCTTCGAATCGATTTAAAAAAAGAACAAGGTCGATGAAAATGTGGAATTTTGTGTTTAGAAATTTGTTAGGACTAATTCCTATATTGCTCGGAAGGTACTGGTCTTTTTCAATTTATCGCAATCAAAGGATGCTTGATTTTTAGAATTAAACTTAATGTACTTACCAGATTCCGTATATTGTTATAAAATTAAGTATTTGCTAAGGTACCAGACCTATGGTCAGCTTCCCAGTCAAAGCTTGTTTGTTTTGAAGTTCTTTCCTCGAATTGTTATTTGTCTCATGGTATGACAGGTATCGTACACAACCAACATCCCTCATATGGTGTTTCTCAAATTTGAACATAAATGTTGTTTATAATCACACATAAACATTTCGAAAGTGACTATATACAAACCAGTTCTACTGATACTATTATATACTATATATTAACTCAAAACAAATACAATACTCTCGCAATGCATTTTGGTTTTGAACCTAATAATATAGGTTCCATCAACGTTGTCGTTGTTTGACTACGTGCTATGCTAAAATACCAAAATCTGAGAACACACATTCGATTACGTTTTACCTGAAAACTTCTACTAAAGCGTATATCGTAAATAGACACGCTTCAACAACAAACATTGTTGCAATATACTCATGTTGTTCAACCCATGTGTCTAGAGTGCTTTGGATAAACATATTTTTTCTAATGAATAAATGATTCAGTGCTTAAATGTTATTTTTTGTGTTTTTTTATCTGTATTTTGGTTTCAAAGTACGTCCTGGCAGTGCATACCTATTCTTTTGTATTGTTTTTATACGTTGCTTTTTGAAAATATCCAATAAAGGTCAGCAACCGGAATGAGAGTTGATGAAACCATATTTTTTTTATTAATTCAGTTGAAGTACTTTGAGCGTGCTTTCAATAACTGCAAGCACTTATTGATACTGTATACCATTTTTTATTATTTTTTTCTATTTGTGTACTTTCTTGTGTTTTCTGCATGTACCTTTTGTCTTTACGTTGATTTATATTTAAAAAGGGAAAGCTGATATATAAAACTAGTTCAACCTTGCAACATATTAATGTACCTGTTTTGTTTCATAGATATGATGTTTATGCAGAAATTAGATTGTTTTTAAATTTATTTAAATTTTGTGGTTGGGTTGTTGTCTCCTTGATGAATAACTCCGTTTCTAATTAATTGCTTGTATAATATTTCAAACGACATGTGTTTACCACATGCAGATGAAGTTTATTCATGTTGTTTTTAATTTCATGGAAGTTTATGATATAATACTTAAATCACTCTGTCGGAATTTAAGAAACCATACTTGTATTGCATTTTTCATGCCGGGCCTTTTATAACTGACTATACGGTATGCCTTTTTCTCATTGTCGAAGGCCATACGATAACCTATAATTCCTTACAGCCCCGTCATTTGGACTGTGTTGGAAAGCTGTCTTAATTTCAATCATACCGCATCAGTCTCCTTATTCTTATAGTGTGTACAATATGAAAAATTAAAATCCTTCTCATAGTGGTCGTGTCTTCTCAATGATAGCTTTCAGTAACTGATAGTACTCGTAAATTGGTACCTTGTGTTTTGATGGCTTTTGTTATGTGTTTTATGTACTGTGTGTGTCAATTAGTAAAACATGAAATCAGGATAACTACGACTGTTTGTTTGAAATTGATATAATTCTGAAATAAGTAGATTTATAATAACTTTTGTTTTCGAATTAAAGTGACCAAAAAAGATACCCTTTCATATCTTCTACTTTAAGACATCGTTTGGCTGACGAGTTTATGTCAAATGTCTTTGTCTTCCCTGTTGTTTAGATGTCAGTAGTCGTTGTTTGTAACTGGTTCGTAGGGAGAGAGAACAAAAACCGATTACTTATCAATCGTTTTATTGCTGATCTGTTTTAACTCGTGGGTGACAAGGGAGATTACTTAATCAACATAATTTGAAAACAGAATCAACATTAAATAACAACTACTGTAAATTCAGTAATTATAACAAGGTTTTATAAATGCGAATAATGCGACTGGAAGAGGTGCAAAACAGTTATTTCGCATAAGAATGCCGACAACACGCTGGAAAATCTACCTCCAAATTCAACAAACCTGTTTGTCAATGATACTGATCACTTGTTCTTCGGTATGATTTATTTTCTGGTTCAATAGTTACAAAATATGCTGAATTATATCCTAAATCAATAAATGCTTACCGTATGGTACCAATTTTTACAGGGGATTATTTTTGTAAACAGGGTTTTAATTTTAAATGTTATATGGTGGTGTAAAGGGTGAAAAAAATCGAAGGTCTTGATATAATTTATTTCAGAGAATCGAACCGATCAAAAAATGGCAATATCACAAAAAAGGTTTACTTTTAAAAATATCTTTGTCTCGTTGAGGTTTTGTCGCCATGGCTAAAAATAGAGCATAGGGGTCAAATGCAGTTTTTGGCTTATATCTCAAAAACTAAAGCATTTACAGCAAATCTGACACGAGGTAAAAATGTTCTATAGCTATCAGCCTTGAAATTTTGAGACGGACCGAACAACCCAATGTTGGGTTGCTGCCACTAAATTGGTAATTTTAAGGATTTTTTCAGTTTTTGGTTATTATCTTGAATATTATTGAAGATAAAGATAAACTGTAACTAAACTGCAAATATGTTCAGCAAAGTAAGATCTACAAAAAAGTTATTATGACCAAAACAATGTGTTCATCATAAAAAAAAAGATGTGGTATGATTGCCAATGAAACAACTCTCCACAAGAGACCAAATGACACAGAAATTAACAACTATAGGTCACCGTATGGCCTTCAACAATGAGCAAAGCCCATACCGCTCAGTCAGCTATAAAAGGCCACGAAATGACAATGTAAAACAATTCAAACGAGAAAACTAATGGCCTAATTTATGTACAAAAAATGAATGAAAAACAATTATGTAACACATAAACAAACGACAACCACTGAATTACAGGCTCCTGACTTGGGACAGTCACATACATACATAATGTGGCGGGGTTAAACATGTTAGCGGGATCCCAACCCTCCCCCTAACCTGGGACAGTGGTGTAACAGTACAACATAAGAACGAACTATAAAAATCAGTTGAAAGAGGCTTAACTCATCAGATGGATAAAAATACAAATACTACAAATACAAGTGTACGTGGCCGGGTACTTGTACATCCAAACAACAAAAAGACACTAAGTACAGATCTGAGAGTACTCGCAGTTACTGACAGCTAGTTCAAAAAATCATGCATCTAAGACTAAATTATCAATCCGTACACATCCAACATCCAATAGATTTAGTGTAAAGACGTCATAAACAGTCAGAAAAAAACATGATCTTGTACAATGCCAAGATACAGTTATCGACAGATTGTAGATCCATGAATGTGTATATGTATATAACAATAATATTTAGTTTGCTTTTAATTTACTGATAACAAAATCAATATTAGTACCACTAAAAACAATATTTAATGATCTAATTACAGTGTTGAATTGGTAACCTTTTAGAATAAGTTTATTTAAAGGATCGATAAGTTTACCAGGATCGTTTCTAAATTTCCGGGCACAGTAAACAATATTGCCGTAAAAATGAGGATGTGCAATCCCGTTTGAAATAAGTTTTCTACAGGTACAACCAAATTTCAAAACCAAATTTTTAAATCTGTGGAAGAATTTAGTAAAGGTTTTAAGTAATTTGTGGTAACGAAATCCCTTGCTTAATAATTTACCAGTAATACATAGATTACGTTCGTTAAAATCAAAAAGGTCACAACAGACACGGGCATAGCGAACGAGTTGTGAAATATAAACACCGTACGATGGTGCAAAAGGAACATCACCATCCAAAAAGAGAAAATTAACATTAGAGAACGAAAAATCGTCCCTTTTTGTCGTAAATTTTAGTGTGGAGTTTCCCGTGTAAAACCGAAATATCTCAATCTAGGAAAGGACAGTTGTTACCGTTTAAATTTGATTTATCTAAAGAAAGATCATGTTTGCTAACATTTAAAAATCTTCTCCTCTGAAAATACTGGGCCTAATACTTCTTAACTTTAACTGAACGTTTCTTAGGGTTACTGGTTTATAAATTGTATCCGAACTTTTGATCCATTAACAAACATGGCCACCATGTCTAAAAATAGAACATAGGGGTCAAATGCAGTTTTTGGCTTTTATCTCAAAAACTATAGCAGTTAGAGTAAAAGTGACGGGGAGGTAAAGTGATGAACAAGTTACGATCTATCTGCTATGAAATTTTCAGACCAATTGGACCACCAATTGTAGGGTTACTCTCCGAAATAGCTTATTTTTATGAAATTTTACTGTTTTTGGTTATTATCTTTAATATTATAATAGATAAAGAGAAAGTGTAAATGGCAAAAATGTTCAGCTAAGTAGGATCTACAAATAAGTCAAATGATCAAAATAGTCAATTGACTCCTTAGGGATTTATTGCCCTTGAAACGTTTATTTTTTACATTTTCTCGTGCAAGTCTATTACTTTTTCAAATATCTTCTTCTCTAAAACTACTAGGCCAAATACTTCCAAACTTTAACTAAATGTTTCTTATGGTATGTTATTTATAAATTGTATCCGAAGTTATGATCCATCAACAAACATGGCCGCCATGGCTAAAAATAGAACATAGGGGACAAAAGCAGTTTTTGGCTTATATCTCTTAAGTGAAAGGGAGTTTAAGTGATAAATAGGTCATGATCTATCTGTTATGAAATTATCAGACAAGTTCGACAACCAATTGTTGGGTTACTGTTGGAAATAGTTTATTTTTATTAAATTTTACTGTTAAAGGTTTTTTTTTAAATATTATAATAGAAAGAGAGAAAGTATAAATGGCAATAAATGTTCAGCTAAGTAAAATCTACAAATAAGTCAACATGATCAAAATAGTCAATTGACCCCTTTGGGAGTTATTGCCCTTAAAACGTTTTTTTTTACATTTTTTGTGGAAGTCTAATTACTTTTTCAAAAATCTTCTTCTCTGAAACTACTTGGCCAAATACTTAAAAAACTTTAATTGAATGTTTCTTAGGGTATCTAGTTTATAGATTGTATTCGGGGATTTGATCCATTTAAAAAACATGGCGGCAGTTTCTAAAAATAGAACATAGGGGTCAAATGAAGTTTTTGGCTTTCATCTCAAAAACTAAAGCAGTAAGAGCAAAACTGACATAGGTGAAAGTGTTAAACAGGTTTAGATCTACCTGTCAAATAATCTTTAGACCAATAGGACAACTTATTGTTGGGTTACTGTCCAGAAATAGTTAATTTTTAGGAAATTTTACAGTTTTGGGTTATGTATCATCTTTAATATACAAATAAGTCAAATGCCTGAAACTGAATTTACAGGTGAGCGATATCAGGCTCTCATGAGCCTCTTGTTTTTAAAAGTGCCGATTTGAAGTTTTAATCGATG